TTCGAATTTGATATGTGGTAATCAATAGCTATAAAAGTGACTCACTCATCGTCGTGTGCTTTGATATCGTCCATCAGTTCCTGATGTTGTTTGTGTAACGCCTCTGCGGTGGCGACGTCTTTAGCGTTCGACTCTTGGGCTAGTTGCTCGCGGACTTTCTGTTAGGGGGGAGAAAGAGTTTTTTTTTATTTATTTTTTAGTTAAGAATTAGTTGAGTAGGCTTAAAATACAAGTAAATATCGATGATTTAATCTCTTGTATGTCGATATACATTGTCATATACAATCAAACAAGAAATAATATAGGTTAAGTTTAGTAAAAAAAAAACAATTGATATTTAGGTTTTCTTTTTTTTCCACGAAATATAAGTCTTTTTTTATTATTTTATTTATATGTCGATATACATATATGAGACAATAGAAAACAAATTGTGTCGATTAGATTATTCCGGCATACCAAAGGTTAAAAGTAATTATCAGACATTGAGAAAGTTAGACAACTAAAAGATGCTAATAATAAAAAAAAATAAAAAAAGTATTCTGCGAAATTTTAGCATTTTAAAAAATTTGTGTATTGTAATTATATTAGTATTAAACATTAACTTTAAGATACTTTGTCATTTCCAACTGCTACAGAGTTAAAAACAAAAAATAAGAAAACTCGAAGAATAATGAATTATATATATACGAATGGAGTTTCTTGCTAGTTCTTCTCCATTCGAATCTACATTTTGGAATGAGCGCCTAGCTTCACTGACGGGCTGACTGACAGACTATTATTTATTTTGTATTTGTTGACGGTTCAAAAGTACCAAACTATTGTTTAATTGAAATAAATGCTTTGACTTTGACTTTGACTTATAAAATTCACGACAAGACTAAATAGAATAGGAGTTAACTCGTCGAGTACTGGTTTCGTAGACACAATTATAGAACAATAGGTGGCGGTCACCGATGACCGCTTGGTGTTTGACAGTTTAAACTGTGACATTTATATCTCATATAAATTTCTAATTTTGTCTATTGTTTTATTTAACTCTTTGCAACAATAAAATAATTTAACTATTCATGACTCTTATCAAGTCTCTTATCAACTCCTTTTAACTCTTTCTCACCTGCATCCAATGCGTTAACGTAGCGGAGCTGTTTCCAAAGATCTGGTGTCCGACGGCCGACTCTAGGCGACTCCTTCTCTCTGCCGCTTGAGCCTGACATCTCTCCCACATCTGCTGTATCTCCTTCTGTCTGCCTTCTACGTTGCCTCGCTCGTTGGGGTACTGCGATTTGACTCTGGTGGGATAAAAAGAATGTTGAAAAAAAATTGGTTATAAAAATTTTGATTTTCAAATTATAGCGTTTGATATAATATAATCTACTAGCGTCTGCCCGCGACTTCGTACGCGCAATCCCGTTTTCTCCCGTTCCCATTGGATTTTCCGATTTTTTTCTATCTTAAGAACCTTCTCTTGGTAATAACAAATACAACAAAAAAAGAGTTAGTGAAATCGGTCCAGCCATTCACGTCTGATGCCGTGACCAAGGGAAAAAGGTATTCATTTATATATATATATAGATAGATAGATTATTTGGTTTGAGCTGGTCTAATAAGTTGTAATAGAAATATTTCTTACTCTGTGCTTTCATATCTTTCGATAAGGCTGCATGTAAGTAGGAAAATAAGGTTAATACTGTTCATGTAGCGACATTCTTTACTTAAAAAATTGCACTTTTGGTCTAATTCAAATAGTGACATTGATTACATAACATAACATCACGCCTTTTTTCCCCGAAGGGATAGGCTTTATGGCGCTTAATGCCACTGTACAATGTAACACCTACTTTTCACTATTTATGTTACGAGTCCCATGTAATAGGGGGTGAGTCTATTGCCATATACCAGACACATTTCCAGCCTCCGTGCTACTATTGAGACTTAAAAACCCAGTAATACATTGCCTGACCCGGGAATCGAACCCGAGACCCCTTGCCCGGTAGTCGCACTCGCGACCACTCGGCCAACGAGGCAGTCATTCATTATGGCTGTATAAAATAACACCTTACTATAAATTCCCCGAGAAAAGCAGACAGATATGGTTATTAAAAGTTAAAATTTTTTAACAATCCCCCCTGTAATAGGGGGTGAGCCTAGCACACATCATACATAGGCTAAACTTTCAGCGGTATCATCACTTTTGGTGGAGAAGAGTCGTGGTGGCCCAGAGGTTTTGAAAAACATATCATTGAACCTTATTCCTGACTTAGAAGTCGAACTTCAGTCCGACCAATGAACCACAATAACAACTGTTAACTTAATTAAGTAAAATCGCGGGTTACTCACGTGAATATACTGAGAAATGCTATAATAGTTTCGAACCACAGAGGGGTTCTTCCTCATGAGCAGCGAGCGCGGTCGCCGCGACGTCGCGCAGCTCACACAGCTCAGTGAGCTGATATTCAAGTGAGTAACTCGCGATTTTACTTCATAGTTTCACTTCGATTAACTTAAAAGTAACTCACGAGTCGGCTAGCAGACTAATAGTATTGACTTTCTCTCGAACAGGCTCCAGTTCCCTCTCAAGCTGGGCGTGTCTCCGCTGCAGCGCCCGGACAGTCCTGAGGTCGGCGGCGGGGGCCGAACTCGCTGCCAACTGCTGTTCCTTCTCTGCCATCCAGTCGAGGGCCTCATCACAGGTCCGGCTGAACAGTTCCACGCTAAAAAATAGAAGAGAGGGTGAGATTTTTGAAAATACCTAAATAATTGTAGTATCGTTATGTGCGACCCGGGAATCGAGCTTTAGACTTGTTACTTAACAGTAATTGCGTACAATTCAATCAATAAGACAGCTTATTACATTTTAATCACTCGACAGACGGACATTCGATCAATAAAACAGTATATTTTATTATAACAAGAAAATAAAAAGAAAATAGTAGCGTTGTCCCTAATAATAGCATTGGTTGAAGATTTCAAAATCATAAACTACAATGGCCCAAGAATACTGCCTTGTGGTACACCTCGAATAATTTCATCGTATAAATATACTTTTTCTAATTTCAGAAGATATTATAAGAGGAGAAGAAAAACTGATCGACTAGGCACAACTAAACATCTATTCACTACACCAATCCAGTTTTTCTTCTAGAAAATACTCATTTTCCTCATCATCTCCTACTCAATCTCCACTCACCTAGAAGCTCCCTCCAAGCTCTTCTCCTTCTGCTGCTTCAGTCTCAGCAGCCTCTCCCACTGCTGTCTGAGTTGCTGTCGCCTGGCAGTGGCTCGTCCTGCCTGGCTGTGTTTGGCCTGCACCAGCTCTTCCGCTGCAGCATCGATGTGTTCCAGGCGCTTTGACGCTGCTGATAGGTCAGTGACGAATTTCTGAAAAAAAAAAATGTGGTTGAAAAGTCTATTTATATGGAGTTTCAGTGCCAGGTTAAGGAGCTGTCCTAAGAGTCAAAAATAGGGTATATGACTCTTAAGGCGGGCGAAAAATCGTCGAATGACTGCTCCCGCCTGGGTGAGGCGGGAGGGAGTGTCAGACTCTTACTGACTAAGACCCACCCCGTTCCTTCTCCTGCACGTCGAGCCGGAGCCCCGGTTACCCGTTAGGTTCTCCGCGACAACTCTTAAGGCTTTGACTGCCAATAGAAAACTGTTGAAGGTAAATCCTCCGCTAATATCGGTCACCGGTGACCCCCATGGCGTTTAACGTGTTAAGATTTATAGACTTTCAATACTACGCCATTTGGGTCGAGTGTGTTAGAGATATTCAAATGGTAGTTTTCAATTAAAACAATAAAAAGTTTGAGATATGAATAGGCCGGCTCGACCGGAGTGATACCACGGCCGAGCAGAAAACTAGAGTGATATAACCGAAGCGTTGTGCTTCGTCGTGTGAATGAGGTTACGGGAGGCTTAATTACCCCCCTCCCATCCTCAATCCCTGATTCCCCAACAATCCTCAAATCCCTAATAAACGGCCGGTAACGCACTTGTAACGCCTCTGATGTGGTGTGTGTGCGTTACTGATCTTTTGGGAATTGGGAATTTGAGTATTTTGTGGGATTCGGGGATTAGGAAGACAGGGGAGGAGACCCTCCCAATTGGGCAAAGTAATTTTAAAAGTATTACCATCAAAATGTCAACATTATTTAATTCATTGGATCCAAGACTTTGGTATGCAAAATCCTAGAGGATCCTATTATAGGGGACCTAATCCACGATGTTTAAGACTTCCCGAACCCCAAATTACTTACCTCATACTTCCTCTTAGCAGTGTCCACGCTATCATCAGCATCATCAGCCCGCAACATCTTCTCTTTGTCCTTGATCCATTTGTCGAAGTCATCACACTCTGCGAAGAAGCTGTACAGCTTGATGGCGTCTTCTAGCTGTGCGCGACGAGCCGCGGAGAGGGTTAGGAGTTCATCTGTAGTGGAGATATAATAATTAGTTTAAATATCTAAGTGTGGGAGAGCCATGCTTCGGCACGAATGGGCCGGCTCGACCGGAGTGATACCACGGCCGAGCAGAAAACCAACGCTAAGCAACGCTTGCGTTGTGTTTCGTCGTGTAAGTGAGGTTACCGGAGGCCCAATTACCTTCCCCTTCCCTAATCTCCCCAATCTCTGAATCCCCCAACGATCCTAAAACTCCTAATCCCCAAAAAGCCAGTGACGCACTTTTAACGCCTCTGGTGTTCCAGGTGTCCATGGGCGACGCCGATTGCTTACCATCCATCAGGTGTTCCGTCTGCTCGGTTACCGGCTTATGCCATAAAAAATAATAATAATAATAGATAATCTTATATCTTATACTATTATATAAAGCGGAAGTTTGTTTTTTGTTTGTTAGTTTGAAATAAATAAATATGACTGACCATAGTCCTTCTGTATCTCCTCCATCCTGGTCTCGACGCTGGCGGTCCTGGGCTGCGGTATGGTAGCCCGGCTGGCGCGCCTGGCGGCCGGCTTGTTGCGTTTGACAGGAACGACTTGTTTCACGAGCACCGTCTTCTTTACCCGCTGGACTGTTCGGACCTTTTCGGGACGACGAACTTGGACCTGGAATGGGGAGCATTATTGTGAGTTGCGGAAGTAGGCGACTGCCTCGTTGGCCGTCTGCTCGCAAGTGCGACTGCCGGGCAAGGGGTCTCGAGTTCGATTCCCGGGTCGGGAAAAGTTTATTGGGTTTTCAAAAAATCTCAAGAGTAACACGGAGTCTGGAAATGTGACCGGTATATGGATACCTTTCCAGACTCATATTGCCATCAATAGGCTCACCCCCTATTACATGGGACTCATAACATAAATAGTGAAAAGTGGGTGTTACTTCTGTGTGCATCTCTGCCTACTGGGATAAAAGGCGTGATGTTATGTTATGTTATGTTATGCGAAAATAGGAAGCCATTTTTAACTGACTCCAAAAAGAAAAAAAGGAGTATGTATATATGTTTTCGTGCCCGTTTATCTAGCGACAGGTTGAACCGATTTTAATGCATCATCATCATCATCAACAGCTTATAAATGCCCACTGCTGAGTAAAGCCTCTTCTCACACGGAGAAGGTTTGAGCATTAACCTCTTATCTGCCGGTATATGAGACATAATAGAAAACACATCGTGTCTCGCGTATATGTACGTTATACGTCCTCGGCATACCAGCAGTTAATCACCACGCTTGCACAAGGCGGGTTGGCAATCGTAATTTTAATGCAGTTTTCATATAAGTGTTTGATACACTTCCAGTATTTTGTAGACTGAATTATTAGCTGACTACTACTATTTATGTTATCCGGGAATCAAAACCCGAAACCTCTAGCTAGATAGTCGAACCACACCATCGAGGCAGTCTCTATAAGAAGTTACCGACGAAATACTCACTTATGTTATTTTTTTTTCTTTAAAAAAGAAACTTGGCCCCACTCTAGGATTTGTAACCTGTGTCGTGTGGACGTTTACAAACATACAAGTTCACATACACAATGACACCCAGACCCGGAACAACAATTTGTGGATCACACAATGTGTTGTTCCGTGCGGGAATCGAACCCGCGACATGTTGCACGGCAGCCGGTTGCCTAGCCACCGCACCAACCGTGCGGTCAGTGCAGTTATGTATAGTTAATGACGAAATACTCACTTATGCATATGGGTATTTTTTGCAGTTTATTTAAAAAAGATGTGACCAAATAGTCTGTATATACTCACAGGAACAACTCGAGGTTCGATTTCCCTGACATAGTTAGCGGGGACGAACCCGTCAGTCCGGTCAGCCTTGCGCACGGACCACCAGTCCGGGTTGGTCTTATTTATCAAAAACATAATTTCGCCCTTCTGCATCGATATACCCTGCCCTGTGAAGGCGTAGAGGGCTTTCACCTGCGAACGAAAAATAAATAATATAAAAAAAATAATTCCTGACTGAAATGTAACACTGCGAATTTTCGAAATCTGAAATACATAACTGGGTAGTTTCCTGGATCAAAAAAAAAAAATTTAGATTTTTCAATCCAATTAAATATTGAAAAATAATTACACTATCATTCCTTGATCTGACGATATACTTAATTTTCGATTCATTCTAGCATTTTTTTTTTTCAGAAATAAGTACGTCTATGCTATTTGATACGAAAATATGATGACGTCATAAGTTGGTATTTCGTACAAAATTCATTATAGAACAGTTTCGTTTTAGCCGTTTCGTTAAAAGTATTGAATTTAAGTAAAAACGTGAGTAACGTGAATATACTGAGAAAAGCTCAGTGAGCTGCGCGACGTCACCGCGACCGCGCACACTGCTCAAAGATCCCCTCTGTGGTTCGAAACTAGTAGAGCTTTTCTCAGTATATTCACGTGAGTAACTCGCGATTTTCTTAATTTAGTATGTCTCACGATAGTTACTATTGAATTTGACTAGAGAATTATATTTTGTCTGCGCTGGTAATCCAACTAGAGACCATGTGCTTAGAAGCCACAGGAAAGTAGTCTTAAGTGTTTTTGCGGAACCTAGATGGTGCTAGCGATGGTTAAGGTTCAGTTCAATAAAAAGTCAAAGTTACCACTAATTTATAAGAACGGAATCCTAATAAACATATTTTATGGTAAGCAATCGGCGTCGCCCATGGACACCTGGAACATCAGAGGCGATACAAGTGCGTTACCGGCCTTTTAGGATTAGGAATATGAGGATGGTTGGGGATTCATGGATCAAGGAGATTGTGGAGGGGGTGATTGGGTCAACGGTAACCTCACTCAGTTGACACACCGCTTTGGTAGTGTCAGTATGGTGTACAGCTCAGTCGTTGTTGTAATTCAGTATGGAGTACAGCTCGGCCGTGGTATCACTCCGGTCGAGTCAGGACTGCACGGCCGAAGCATGTCGCGCTCACACTTAAAAGTATAGTGAAATTACCTGTGGCACGCTCCTCTCCTCAGTCACAGTTCTATGCTCCAGCCGCTCCACCGGTTCCTCTTCCCAGACTTCAGTGGGCACCAGTCTGGATTCGTTTACCCATTCCTCCTCCTCAATCGCTGGAGAGGACTCCACTTCTGTTGGTAGCTGGTGATAGAAAAAAATAGATTTTTATTAATTACACATAAAAGTATTTTCATATTGACAAACGGTGAAGGAAAACATCGTGAGGAACCTGGGCTTATAATTTCTAATTATAAGTTTGACATCGCCAACCCGCATTGAGCAAGCGTGGTGATTGATGGTCAAACCTTCTCCGTGTAAGAAGAGGCTTTGCTTAGCAATGCCCATATAGGATGTTGATAAAAAAGTATTTTCCTCTAAACCGACGAATATGCATGAAGATATTGGTGAATGTAGATGTAATGAAAGAGGTATGTCAGAATCGTGGCGTTTTATAAAATAATACAATTTCATTTTATTTGCGCTAATCTACAGAACTACTGGTTCTATGTGAATAATTCTTTTAGTGTTGGATAGTCCATTTATCGAGAACTATACAGAGTAAACAGGATAAAACAAGAGCAACTACTTTATAACTTTACGGAGCCGCGGAGGACTTAACGGGTTACCGGGGCTCCGGCTCGACGTGCAGGAGAAGGAACGGGGTTGTTTTTAGTCAGTAAGAGTCTGACACTCCCTCCCGCCTCACTCAGACGGGAGAAGCAATTGGATGATTTTCCCACCTCAAAAATAAAAGCTACTTTATAACTTTTTTTTATAGCTGTTGTGAAGTTGCGCACGATTGTATTTACTCGTACCTATATTCAGTATGAAGTTGTAACTAGCTTCATTTCAATAAACCGTTTGATTGGAATGTACTTCATTTATCAACCGAACACAAAAAGGAGGTTGGAGTCGGTTTTTTTAACGTAGTTTATTGAAAACTAGCTTCTTCTCGCGACTTCGTCCGCGCAATCTCGTTTTCTCCCGTTCCCGTAGGATTTTCAGGACTTTTTTCTATCATAAGAACCTTCTCCTGACAATAACATTTATTTACAATAATATTTATTCAACGATATCCAATAGCATTGGTCCATATCAGCATGGTTTCATGAGACGCCGCTCAACAGTATCTAATCTTGCCACCTTTACTAACTATGTTATTCGTAATATGGAGGCGGGTGGTCAGGTTGATGCAATCTATACAGACTTCGAAAAAGCATTCGATCGCGTGGATCATGTCATCCTGCTTTCGAAACTCCAAAATCTTGGCATTCACGGCGACTTGCTTAGGTGGATCAGTTCCTATCTGTCCAAGCGTTCTCAGGCTGTTGTGATCGGTGGCTTTAGATCTGACTTTGTGGATATAACGTCCGGTGTCCCACAGGGATCCTTGCTTGGACCTCTGTTTTACTCTGCGTACTTATATGACATCCAAGCATGTTTCAAACACTCTAAACACCTTCTATACGCAGATGACATGAAAATATACTTGCGGGTTGAATCGGTGTCTGATTGTGAGCTCATACAACATGACCTTAATTCACTATACCGATACTACTCGCAGAATAACATCAATGTGAATATATCGAAATGTCAATCTATTAGTTTCACCCGTCGCATAAACCCCATAAAGTATTGTTATAAATTTGACAACATAGCTATAGAAAGAGTAGATGTCGTTAGAGATCTTGGTGTGTTGCTGGACTCTAGATTGCTATTCTCTGAACACATCGATAGTACAGTTGGTAAAGCCTCTCGTAATCTTGGATTTGTAATGCGCACATGTAAACCATTCAGAAACCTTCATAGTCTCAAGATTGTGTATCTTGCTTATGTCCGCAGCACATTAGAATATTGCAGTCCTGTCTGGTCTCCTCTATATAATATTCATATATCTCGTTTGGAGAATCTTCAGAAACGATTTATAAAATTTTTAAATATTAAAAGCCATAAACGCCACGCATCTTATCTGACGGATTGTAAACATTACCACTTATTGCCACTTGATGACAGACGGCAGATGTTGGACATGCTCCTTCTTTATGATATCCTGCGGGGTGGGATAGATAGCAGTGATCTCTTGTCATGCGTTGAATTCTGCACGCACAGGTGTCGAACAAGACATACTCACTTGCTTAGTATACCCTCACATCGTACGAATTATGGGAAAAATGCTGTTATGACTCGACTACCTCGCATTTACACAGAGAAGTTTGAGAGTGTGGATATATTTAATTTGTCAAAGGTATCCTTTCGTAAGTCGCTTATACAAATACTCACTAGTGCGTGACTCTTATAACATTATTATTCTTCTTAATTATTGCTTTATAAAAAAATGTCCTTGATTGTTTAATTTTATTTTATATTGCTCACTCTCCTACTTTTACCTAACGCATGCTGAAAAACTCTGTTATTGGCTTAAGTTTCCATGCCTTGTCATTATTATAGATGTAGCATTTACTAAATAAGCTGTTGAGTTTTCTGTAATAAAAAATAAATAAATAAATAAATAACAAATCCAACAAAAAACAATCGGCCAAATCGGTCTAGCCGTTCTCAAGTTATGGCGTGAGAACGGGAAACGGGTTTCATTTTAATATAAATAGATAATGTATCAAGTACCTGTAGGCACGTGATGCCGGCGGCGTGCAGGCGGTCTGCGTGCGCGCGCAGGGCGAGCAGCTCGGCGGCGTGCGCGCGCAGCTCGTCGTGCGTCACCTTGTGCCGCGCCAGCAGCGCGCCCGCAGACGGCGCGTCGCGCCCGCAGTCGTCCGTCGCCACCAGGGGGCGCTTCTCCTTCATCCAAGATTCAGCTTCGTTCGCGTCGCCGTAGAACTGTTGAGAAAAAAAAATAGTAGATATTTTGAACATTTTTGCGAATGTGAAATCGAGTTTTGGTCAGATTTTAGTAAAAATCGGAATATTCTTTTTATGGAGACAGATCACCTGATGGTTCCTGAATCCTTAAAGAAAACCCAGTAGTACTTTGCCAGACTGTGGAATCGAACCCGAGGTCCCTTGCCCGGCAGTCGCACTTGCGATCACTCGGCCAACGAGGCAGAGTAGTGATAACAAAATCTTACCTGGTGAGCTTCTGCAGCATCAGCTAGCTGCTTCTCCCTGGCGGCGGCGAGCTCGCGAAGTATTTGCCACTGTTTGTTCAACGATGTTAGGCGACGCTCAATCTCGGCTGATTTAGGGTGTTTAGCGTCGATTAGGCTAGAAATAAAATAATAATCTGTTAGGCAGATTCTAAAAACAGGTTTAATCAAATAGCTGTCGCTTTTTGGTTCAGTGTTACCGTCAAAAATTTGATCTACAATAGTTTGACATTAATTTTAATTATCTATTGGACAAATAGGTCTAGGTATATAGTGCCTACCAATGCGCAAAAGATGAAATAGACTTTAACAAAGGAGATTCTATGATTCAGATGTAGTTTTAAGATATAACTAGCTGAGCCCGCGACTTCGTCCGCGTGGAATAGTGATTCACAGCTTCTCCCCTGTAGTTGATAGGATGATAATATGTAGCCTATATGTTGCTCCGCCCTGTTACTAATATTCATGCAAAATTTGAAATAAATCCATGCAGCACTTTTTGAGTTCATCCCGGACATACATATAGACAAACAGACAAAAATTCTGAAAATCATATTTATTTGGTTTCGGTATCGACTGTAGATCATGCCCAAAGCATTATTTAGAAAAAAATCGATGTACAGTTTTCACTTTCCAACTATTTTACTATATGTATAGATGCTTCATCTCGAACTACAAAGCACTAGAGAAAACATTTTATAAAAACTGCGCTAAAACAAATATTAACATGCGCAAACCATATCCTAACTTGCGCAAAGCATTTGTATTGTAACTTTCGTGAGACATACTAAATAAATTATTGTTTTCGGCTTACTCACGTAATTATTTGACGAGGAACTCGACTCGAGTAGCAGCGCGACAGTCGCCGCGTCGCGGGTCGCGAAATGCTGCTCATGAATATGAGCCTCTAGCATGGCTTGAAACTAGTCGAGTTCCTCGTCAAATTACTGCGTGAGTAAGCCGAAAACATAATAATTTACTACGCAAAGCATGTTCAAATATGCGCAAATCAAATTGCAACTTGCGCAAATCACCCAAACACTTATTTGTGGGAGTGCCATGTACTCCCAAGTGTGGGCCACGCTTCGGCACTGCTGGGCCGGCTCGACCGGAGTGATACCACGGCCGAGCAGAAAACAACGCTTGCGTCGTGTGAGGTTACCGGAGGCCCAATTACCTCGTCTCTAGTCTCCCGAATCTTCCACAATCCTCAAATTCTCAATTACCACAAGGCCGGTATCGCACTTGTAACTCCTTGGTGTTTCGGGCAGCGCCGATTGCTTACCATCAGGTGATCAGTCGGCTAGTTTACCGGCTTATACTATAAAAAAAAAATTGTTTCAACAACTGAAATAATTTACCTCTGCCCCTTGGCCCTGTGTCGCTGCGAGACATGATCTCTAGCGCGCAGCTCATGCAGTAAGGCGGTGTGTTTCTGCCTCAGCGCCAGTACGGCGCGAAGTTCCTTCGCTGCGACTTCTGTGCGACATATGCGCTGTTTCTCTGTCACCCAGCCTGCAACAAGGAATTAGGTCTATCTTATAATTTGTATGTCACATATCTTATACTCCTTATCTATATACCTCTATATAAAAGAAAGTCGTGTTAGTTACACCACTTATAACTCAAGAACGGCAGAATAGATTTGGCTGAAAATTGGTAGGGAGGTAGCTTAGAACCCAGGAGACCGACATAGGATACTTTTTAACCAATACTTTTTTTACTTTTTACCGAAAATCACGAACGAGGACGGGAAAAATGGGATTACTAGTACTATTATATAAAACGGAAGAGTTTATTTGTTTGAACGCGCTAATCTCCGTAACTACAAGTCTGATTTGAATAATTATTATTTTTGTGTTTGTTAGCGCATTTATCGAGGATAGCTGTAGGCTATAAAACATCACGCCACGACCAATTGGAGGTAAGCAGAGCGTGTGAAACCGCTCGGAAGTAGCTAGTTTTATATATTCGTGGCCCCATTGGGGGAAACAGAATGAATAGAATACATTCAATTACTGCCGGTAATTAACGATTTTGGGTTACGGTTTTGGAGTTATGTAGGCAGTTTTAAACTTTTAACCGACCTCCAAAAAGTAGAAGTCGAAGTCGTTTGAAATCATACCTTCTTCCTCATCATGGTCTTCCAGGAACTGGTACAGGTTCCTGGCGTCTTCTAGTCTCGCTTTACGGTCCTTGGCAGCGGCCACCAAGCTGGAAACAAAGAAAATTATGTTTATGTATTTTTTTTTGTTAGTGAAACAAGTGAAACAAGTGAATTTATTTCTGCAATTTCTGTTAAGGGGGGAAAATCATCGAATGGCTGCTACCGCCTGGGTGAAGCGGGAGGGAGTGTCAGACTCTTACTGACTAATAACCACCAAAATTATATTTTTCGGATCAAGGGGGTTTCGATTCCCGGGTAGAGCAAAGTATTACCGGGTTTTAAAAGAAAAATCTCAGTAGTAGCAAGGAGTCTGATAGCAATAGGCTCACCATATTGAATGGGACTCATAACATAAACAGTGAAAAGTGAGTGTTACGTTGTACAAGTGGCATTAAGTGCCGTAATGTTTAGGTGCACATTACGACTGCCTACCCCTTCGGGGATAAAAGGCGTGATGTTATGTAATGTTATTCGTCAGATCATCTAATTGCATGTAAATTACACTTTAAAACTGAAAATGTATCCAACAAACCTGTCATAATCATGTGTCAACTGCGTCAACTGCTGCGTCAACTGTTGTTTAGGCTGAGCTGCTCCATCAGCGCTAGCTCCCTGCCTGACGAGCCGACGAATAGTTTCATCTAACGCGCCCAGCTGTAGTTCCTGGAGAGCGTGCGCTTGCAACAAGCGTTCGACGTCGACTAGATGGCGGCCTACTTCCTCGGATTGGAATTGTGCCTGTGGAAGAGAAAACAATATTAAAATACATACATGCATACATAACTTCACGCCTGTCTCCCATGGGGGTAGGCATGACGTCACGCGACATTTCAAATCAATATATCTTCGAAACTATTCGTTTCCGTAAGAAAATAAAAAATACGTGTCTAATGTTTTTAAATAATCTACCAGACGGACATTAAAATAAAAATTAGTCGTCTACCCTCTTTCGCTTCATCAACAGTCATCAATCTTTTCATGCATGCTCGTCGGTTAAGGGTACTTTTAATTTGGCCCTTCTTTAATATAATGTCAATCTTGTCATTATATGTCCGTCTAATATTTAAATATGATACAATATGTTCAACTGATATGGAAGCTTACTTTTGAATCCAATTCCGATCGATCGACATTGATATTGTAAAATGTCGTACTTTTGAGTTGCAACACTAGCGCCCATTGCATCCGTATTGCGTGGATATTGAATGAACTAAATGGTATTGAGTTTGTCTTTATATTCCGTAGTCTGAATGCTGTAATAACAGCTACGATTAGGGTTGTATAGTGTTGACATTGAATAATTATTGAGATTTTATTGGATTGAAATTGCATTGACATTGAGATTGGTTTCAAGAGTAAGCACCCTGATCGATGGACAAGAAACAAAAATTATATCGATTTGGTATCAAAAATATCCTGTTGGGAAATACGTATCAGGATGTTTCGGATGGCGCACACATACTATCTTTAACGTTGATACCCGTATACGCACCCTGGTTTTGTACCTGTCACAGTTTTGCCTGATTTAGGACCCCACCCCTTCCCCAGCTTAGGAGTCCTGGGTATGCCAGTAAATACTGCATATTTCGTTATAAGAGGAACATAGATATTTAGGTACTTAGTACTTAATTTAAAGTAAAAATCACTACATAGTATAAAACAAAGTCGCTATCCGCCGTCTATTTGTCCCTATGTATGCTTAGATCTTTAAAACTACGCAACGGATTTTGATGCAGTTTTTTTTAATACATAGAATGATTCTTAAGGAAGGTTTATATGTATAATACATGCATATTGCACCCGTGCGAAGCCGGGGCGAGTCGCTAGTATATTAATAATTGTAGCTTTTAGTTTTTAGTAAGAATCGTATCCCTTACCTTCATTTCAGTGAGAGTATGTCCAACAGTATCAGCTTCCCTTAACAGCGCCATCAGATGAGCCAGCTTAGCCAAGGAGCTTCGGTGCCTCTCCAGCAGTTCCAGGAGTTCGTTCCACCTGGCCAGCACCGCCTGTTCCGTCCTGGAGACAGCTTCAGCCCCGTGGTAGTTCTCCCGGACTAGTTCTGCTGCCATTGCTGAGAGGTCCTCGAAACGTTCGGTTCTGAAGAAGATAAATGGTTTTTAATGGTAAAATTTTTGACCTTGATTTTGAAGTAGGTTTTGATTTAATAGATCATATTAACTAGACTGCCTCGGTGGCCGAGTGATCGCAAGTGTGACTGCCGGCTAAGGGATCTCAGGTTCGATTCCCGGGTCGGGCAAAAATATTACTATTTTTTTTTTAATTCTCAGTAGTAGCACGGAGTCTAGAATTGTGACCGGTATATGGCAATAGGCTCACCCCCTATTACATGGGACTCATAACATAAATAGTGAAAAGTGAATGTTACTTTATACAGTGGCATTAAGTGGCGTAATGTGCACTTCTGCCTACCCCTTCGGGAATAAAAGGTGTTATGTTATGTTACGACAGATTTTTGACATTATTAGATATGTAAATTTTGTCACTAGTTGTCTAATAACCTACTCTCAAGTCACTGACTGACTGACTGACTTACATAGCTTTGACCTTGACTTTTAACCTTGACAACATAACCCGCCTTACCTAGCCAGTATATCAGCAGAGATAGCTTCATGTTTCTTCACGGTAGCGTCGACCTGGGCCAGGTTGGAGCCGTAGCGAGGGTCGGAGAGCACCTGGATCATCTCCTTCAGGTAGCCTTTACGGAGAACTGACTGTTGAAGAGGGAGTGAGGGTTAATGTAGAGTTCAAGTGTGGGAGAGCCATGCTTCGGCACGAATGGGCCGGCTGGACCGGAGTGATACCACCAACGAGCAGATAATAGAAAATATTTCTTACTTTAGTATTAAACTTGTAGTTCAGTTGTTCCAATCTCTGTTGTCTAAGTAGTTCTGTTCTTAGCGCGATCTCGCGAGCATGCTCCGCCTAGAATAAAAGAAAACACTAATTTATAATAAACACAATTAATTTATAGTTATAAAACTAAAAACATGGTTTTTCCATCAGACTCTTGTCATCAGGAGAAATGGACGCATCTACAATTTGTTTTGGTTAAAAAGATGTTCCCCCACACTAAAATTTTCTCCTGTCGTGTGTACGTTTACAAACATACAAGTTCACATACACACACAGACACAGAACTATTATTTGTTGATTACACAAAGAGTTGCTCCGTACGGGAATCCAGCCCGCGACACGTTGTGGGCGGTTATCCAGCCACCGCACCGACCGTGCCAAAGAAGACAAATCAAATAAATTCAGTTAGTAAACTAAAAACGAGCTTTTCATCTTTTTTTGTGTGAAAAACCCATGTTTCGGCACCACAGTGGCACCACGGCCGAGCTGTATACTATACTGACACTACCACAGCAGGGGGGGGGGGCAGGGAGGGCAGTGGGACAATTATACCCCCTCCCCAATCCCCGAATTCCCAACAATCCTCAAATTCCTTATTCCTTAAAAGGCGGGTAACGCTCTTTTAACGCCTCGTAGTGTTCCACGTTATTTTTAGCGTCAAACAGCATAATTATTTCTTAAAAATTTGCTGGAAAAATATTAAAATCAAGTTGGTCATAAAATCAATGAATGAAAGTGTCATTATTTTTTAACATTTTATTGTATTGAACAGTCGAAATTATTTATTTTTGATTAAGGAAAGTACCCTATTGTAAAGTTTAATGACGATACACAATTACACTTATGTGTAATTCAGATTGGTTCGTTATAGGTCGACCTAATAAAAATGCGTTAGAATATTAAAAAGTATAGGTACCTGTTCCAGCTGTTGCCAGGCTCTCTCCAGGTCCTGAGGCAGCTGACCTTCGAGTGGAGCCCAGGCTTCTCCCGTGAGACTCTTCTGCATAGTATTGATGTCAAAGTATAGAGCTTCGATTTCTGACCGCTCCTTGTACCTAGAAGCAGATTAATAGCTATAAGGTCTGTTGTTTTACGATTTATTCACACATTCACATCAACAGCCGATAAATGTCCTCCGCTGACCAAAGCCTCTTCTCACACGGAGAAAGTTTGAGCATTAATCACCACGCTTGCTCAATGCGGATTGGCGATTACAAACATATAATTAGAAATTATAAGCCCAGGTTTCCTCACGATGTTTTCCTTCACCGTTTGTCAGTGGTGTCTGAATAATCTTAGAAAGTACATATAACTCGGAAAAAGTCACATTGGTACTTGCCGTTGGTAGGTTTCGAACCGGTATCCTCATGCATGAGAAGTCTTAAATCTCCGAGCCACCACGACATTTTTTTTCAACACGACATCCTCAAATTCCTAATCCATAAAAGGCTTATAACGTACTTGTAACGCTTCTGATGTTCCAGGTGTATATGGGCGACGCCGACTGCTTACCATCAGGTGATCCGTTCACTTGTTTACTGGCTTATCCCATAAAAAACTCAAATACAAAAATACTTACTTGGGCGGCTTCTCAACAGTTCTGTACTGCTTGAAAGACAATAATAATCGTTGTATTCCATCCAAGGAGTTAGGGAACTCCCTCCCGTTCAGCTCCTGTATCTTCAGGAGAATCCATTCCAGTAGCTTGCTGAATAGTTTGCTGTATTCGCCTTTACGGTCGTCACAATCCATCATTTGGCCAATTATCTGTAGAAAGATATTAAAATATTAATTTAAAATACTAATATTACCTCTATAAAGCTGAAGAGTTTGTTTTTTTGTTTGTTTGTTTGAACGCGCTAATCTCCGAAACTACTGATTCGAATTGAATAATTCTTTTTGTGTTAGATAGTCCATTTGTCGAGGATGGCTATAGACTAAAAACATCTCGCTACGACCAATAGGAGTCGAGCAGAGCGGGTGAAACCGCGCGTAAGTAGCTAGTACTTGATATGGGTGCAAATAAAGTCGATTGTTTTAGAATTTGGCCTGTTTTTATAATAACTATCGTGAGAAGTACTAAGTTAACTAAAAATCGCGGGTTACTCACGTGAATAATTTTTAGCCTATTGCCGTTTGTACTGGACACAAATGCGATTTAGATTTCGTTAAATTTTCGATAAAACGGGAATTTAGCCCGTGACTCATGCTCGGAAGTGGTTCTTGCGACCACACAACCAATGGTGCAGGCCTTAGCAAGTTGTTTAATTAAAAAAAAATAAACACTTATAAATAAAATATCAGTCTCCATTTTTTTTTCCATTGCGCTAATCTCTGAATTCATTAGACCAATTTCGAAAATTCTGTTTACATCTGAAAATTCTATTTTTTAGCCTGATTACAGACCATATCTATTGTGCTTAAGTGTGGGAGAGCTATGCTCCACTGCTACCACGGCCGAGCAGAAAACTGATGTGAAACAATCACCACATTGTCTTCTGTTTTTTTATGGCATAAGCCGGTAAACGAGCAGACGGATCACCTGATGGTAAGCAATCGGCGTCGCCCATGGACACCTGGAACACCAGAGGCGTTACAAGTGCGTTACCGGCCTTTTGGGGATTAGGAGCGTAATTGGGCCTCCGGTAACCTCAGTCACACGACGAAACACAACGCAAGCGTTACTTCACGTCGGTTTTCTGCTCGGCCGTGGTATCACTCCGGTCGAGCCGGCCCATTCGTGCTGAAGCATGGCTCTCCCACACGCGCTCGTCATGTGAGACGGGCTTTTTGGGCTTAAAAATCTAGTAAAAGGAGTTTCATTACTTACATTGGCGATTCTCCGGCCACTTTTTTGTTCGTTCTTCATTCTGGCGAATGTATGGTAGTAGGACGCCACGTATGTCATGACTGATTTCTCGTCAGGACGGCTGGTGTCCACATCTGGTGGGGGAAAGATGAATTTTATATATAACATCACGTTTTCTTATCCCTGAAGGGGTAGCCTATATTACGGCACTTAATACCACTGTACAATGTAACACTCACTTTTCACTATTTATGTTATGAGTCCCATGTCATAGGGGGTGAGCCTATTGCAATATACCAGGCACAATTCCAGACTCCTTGCTACTATTGAGATGTTTTTTTAACAACCAGTAGTAATTTGCCCGACTCAGGAATCGAGCCCGAGACCCCTTGCCCATATAGACATTTCTAATGAGCCCAAAGTTGATGTGTTAATCATTTACCTTCCAATTCCATCATCAGACCAGCACGATGGTACCATAATATTGTATTGTCATCTAATCTACATATAACTGCCAAGTTGCACGATGATACAACAATAGGGTAGATGCCTAATTTTTATTTTAATGTCCGTCTGGTAGATTATTTTAAAACATTACACACGTATTTTTTCAGTTCTTACAAAATTAAATACTTTCGATGATACATATATTGATTTGAAATATCGTGTGACGTCACGATTTACTACAGTTTATAGGGTTTTTTTAAGGGGGTAAAATCATCGAATGACTGCTCCCGCCTCGACACCCTCCCTTCGCCCGGTGAGGCGGGAGGGGGTGTCAGACTCTTACTGACTAAAAACCACCCCGTTCCTTCTACTGCACGTCGAGTCGGAGCCCCGGTTACCTGTTAGGTTCTCCGCGACACATTTTATAGGGTTGCGTGACGTAACGATCTCCCACTCGTAAACTTAACTCCGTTCTATCTAGGTATTGTTTTCTTATACATTGTACAGTGGCATTAAGTGCCGTAATGTGCACCTCTGCCTACCCGTTCGGGGACAAAAAGGCGTGATGTTATGTTATGTTTTCTTATAAGACAAAATAAAAAAATACGTGTCTAATATTTTTCTAATTACATTTTTAATTTTCATACCCTGTCTTCACCTAATTTGCTGCATGTAGGTAATTCAGGTTCTTAGATTTTGTTACATAGTTCGTTAAAGGTCGACCTAATAAAAGTGTATTAATGATCTGGTTTCCTTACCCTCAGCGTCCAGCAGACGAGGAATGCCCAGGTGTTTGTGGGCCACGTCGAAGGCATGGTTCAGAGTCTCCACATGGTCTGTAGCTGGGACTTCTGACCAACGGAAGAGGTCTGGTCTGTAGATAAAAAAAGAGGAATATTAATTGCGTAGTATGGTTAATTTATACATATAAAATCTGCAAACAATTTCACTTTTTTCCACTTTATAAACGTCGCGAGATAGCTGATGTTACTTCTTTAATGGGACAAGCCCGCCACAACCTCCCAAAACCGCTGCAACTCCTGTAAGCCAGGATCTACAGTAGATACAACCATGAAAACACCAGAACACTGAAGTCCAACGTCCCAGGGACATGAGTAACTGTCTTGGTTCCCGCAACGAAGTGAATCAGAAGATGTTATAAGAGGAGAAGAAGAAAAAACTATGGTTTTCACTTCCCTCGGTGAATTACTGTAGGAGACAGAATTAAGCCTAAAGGCGACTGGGCTTCACCCAGTTGTACAGTCTCTTCTTTGTGCCTTTAGGCTTAGCTGATGTTACTTGTTACATGTATGAACATCACTAATTAGTAAGTAAGAAAGAAAAAAAGAAAGAAAAGAAAGAAAAAGCATTTATTTGGCACACGGCACACAAACAAAGATTATGAAAAATAAAAAAAATACAAGTACATACTTATACAAATACATAATATCAAAAGGAAACATAAAAGCATAAAGAAAATAACAAAAATCATCAAAATATAAGAAAATAATGTACATATGAAACAATTGAAATAAGTTTTTGATATAAAGACAAATTAAATACACAAAAAAAACACCATAATATAAATAATATAATACTGCGTGTGCACATGCCAAAAGGGCCTCCACCTCAGCATATAGTTGAGCATTCCTGCCCAACGCTGATTTTCAGGTGGCACCCTGCAGTGACTCACGGACGGCGGTACCGCCCCTCAATAAGGAAAAGAAAATAAATTTGAATATGAAATTAAATAGATAAAATAAATTCTGCAGACTATGTGTGCATATGTGTATGCGTGCGTATGTGTGTGAAAAGTTGTGATTAGAAAAATGTATAGATCAAATAGTAAAAGTAAATACAAACAAAAATGTAAGAATGCATTTATAAGAGACTAAGATATGATGTGACCTCATGCGGTAACATCATAAAAAAATTACAATCTAGCTTTAATGCTAATAAGTAATTCTATTTTGTCTTAATTTGCTAGGAAAGTATAACTAAGAATGTGTCCATTAACACTTTTCTTATTGTCTCTATTAAGGGGAAGACACTTTGTTATTGTGTTCTTTGCCGGTAGCACTCACTACTTTACACTAACACTTCACTATGTTAACTCAAAAGGTTTTGTCCTTTTTAGCCTTCTCACTATGTCCGTGTTGTCGAGGAGCTGGATAGCCTCGATGTTCACATGGTGGTGAAGCCTTCATTCATGGGCTTCTGCACACTTTTTAATTATATCTATGACGAGGTCTACTTTGAGGTCCCGATGAAGGTCGTCATTTCGAATGTACCAGGGCGCATTGACGATTCCTCTGAGTACTTTGTTTTGAAAAATCCACCAACATAACAAATTTAAAGTTCCTATCCATAGCGAATGGTAGAGTTGACTGCCCTGAATTCCTTGAAAAGTTGTCCCTCAATGTTCCATCGAAATCCTTTAGGAAGCACGCACCTCTTTGTGCTCTGGTAGCGAATAATAAGTACAGGCAAAACTCATTCTTGTGTCGAGTTTGTCGTACGTTTAACGACATCAGTTCATCAGTACTGCTACTGATACATGCCTGCGCATGATGTAGACATCTTTTGTTCAAGGTTGAGGAAAGCTAGGACTATGATAAGTGAAGACTTTATTAATAGCTATATTGTTTTTGATATATTTATAATTTTAATTTTGTCTCAGCTGTTACCTATTAAGTCAGTATTCGTGTGAATCTGTAAGTGGCTCAATGGTACTATTTTTCAGCTAAATCTGTGTAATGTAGCTGTTGATTCACCATTTAATAAATAAACAAATAAATAAGTGATTAAAGACGTCAGTCGACTCGTTTCGGGATAAACCAGGGGCCCTATAATCGAGAGCAGGGCAAGAATCATGCCATTATTCCATGGTTTCAAACTAGGTTAATATTAACAAATTCTAGACAACATAGAGATTAATTGAAAATTTGATAAATTGCCATAACACTTTATCTAATTCGGGAATCGAACCTAAGACCCAATTTTTGGTTAGTCAACCAACAAAACAGAGATTCTTAGCTCTTTATAAAAAAAATTGAAATCAAAACGCCTCATAGATCGAGAATCGAATTCAAGACCTCACGGTTACATTACAACACATTCAAACACACTCTCAAAAGTTAAGCAAATCACCCCAAGGTATAGAAATGGATAGGTAACCGTACCTGTGAGCGTGGATGAGCGCGTTGAATCCAAGACCGGATCTCCAGGAGTCTGTGAAGTTGTGTATATGGACTCCATGGTAGCCACTGGTCTTACGCTGACACCAGAGGAGCAGGGCATCTTTGGCTGACTTCTTCTCTGAGGATTCATTTTCTTCGTCCTGCAATTAAGACAAATATTTTTTTAAACATTGCCACACACTAGTACATTAAATTAAAACATTAGACACGTATTTTTTCTGTTCCCACAAAATTAAATACTTTCGACGATATATTGATTTGAAATATCGTGTGACGTCACAGCGTGACATATTTTGTAGCACGTTATGACGTAACGACCTCCCACTCCTAAACTTAGCGCCATTTTATCTAAGTATTGCAACTTAATACGAGAAAATAAAAAAATACGTGTCTAATATTTTTTCATTATGTAACTGACGGACTAATTAGATTTTTAATGTTGATAACCTGGAAACTACCCAATTGCGGAAACTTCAATACACTTTAGCGAAACTAAAAATCAAAAAAAACTTACAACATCAATTTCGATCTCCTGGATCTGGAACCTTAAGATGATGGTCCATATCAGACCGAGGATCAGGCGAGGGTTGCCGTCCACTATGTCTTCAGCTCCGATGGACTCCAGGCGCACCTGATGATGAAGAACATTTGAAAGTTAAACTATATAAATAAAACTACATACTAAAAATAATGATAGGTCGATCAAGCTGTTGCACAATGCGTACATACATAACATCATGGGTAGGCAGAGGTGCACATTATGCCACTATACAATGTAACACCCACTTTTCACTGTTTATGTTAAGAGTCCCATGTAATAAGGGGTGAGCCTATTGCCATATACCGGGCACAATTCCAGATTCCGTGCTACTACTGAGAATTTTTTAAAAACCCAGTAATACTTTGCCCGACCCGGGAATCGAACCCGAGACTCCTTGCCCGGCAGTCGCATTTGCTATCACTCGCCAACGAGGCAGTTGGACAATGATAGTTAATATAACAATCCTACATGACGAGAATCTCTTAAAAGCGTTTTTTTTTTGTTCTTTTCTTTAAAAACGTTGCCCCACATTAGGATTTTCTCCTGTGTCGTGGGCGCGTTTACAAACATACAAGTTCACATACACATGACACCCAGACCCGGAACAACAATTTGTGGATCACACAAAGTGTTGTTCCGTGCGGGAATCGAACACGCGACACGTTGCCCGGCAGCCGGTTGCCCAGCCACCTAACCAACCGTACAGTCGCAAGCTGAAAAAGATAAAGCAAGAAAATATCTTGATTTAGCTCATGAGATTGTCGACATGTGGGATGAATTCAGCAGTCATTGTGCCGATAGTCGTATCTGCCAATGGCCTCATTGCTAAAAGACTCGACCAACATCTGAGTAGGCTAGCGTTAGATGGTTGGGTCAAGGGCCTGATGCAGGACGCAGTACTTCTGGACACGGCGCGTATTGTCCGGAAATTCCTCTTTAGAGCCCTGACCTAGCTTGGATTTCTTTCGTTACTGGTGGGCTGTTTTCATCTTTAAATGTTTTTTTTTATAATTACATATTTAAAAATGAATGAAACGAGTATGGAAAATAAATAAATATAACAATAAATCTATACCTACTAATATTATAAAGAGGAAAGATTTGTATTTTTGTATGTTTGTAATGAATAAACTCAAAAACTACTGGACCGATTGCAATAATTTTTTCACCATTAGAAAGCTGCATTATTCAGAAGTAACATAGGCTATATAATATCACGCTAGGTCCTATAGTTGTGGAGCAGTAACCAAAAATGTTTTACAAACGGGGGAAAAGTATCGTTTCTGAGGCCTTCCGTGGCGTGCACTGAGCATATAGTTAAAGTTATACAAAAATGCTCTATAGATAAATTGTTCATAAATAAATGAAATAAGTAAATGAAGTCCGGAAAAATATTTTCAAAAGGTAATACTTCCTAAATAAAAAAAAACTGAGAATAAATATAAATAAAACGTAAAACTATGTAAAAAATCTTAAGTCCCCCCGTGCGAAGCCGGGACGGGCCGCTAGTTAGTAATATATTGGACATCCCATGACAGTAGTATAAAGTTTCAGTAACATCATTACGCCTTTTATCCCCGGTATATCACAGACAGAGGTAACACCCACTTTTCACTATTGCCATATACCGGGCACATTTCCAGACTCCGTGCTACATAGATTTAAAAAAAAGAAGTACATGTACAACTTTGCCCGACCCGGGAATCGAACCCGAGACCTTGCCTGGCAGTCGCACTTTTTTTTAAGGGGGGAAAATCATCGAATGACTGCTCCCACCTGGGTAAGGCGGGAGGGAATGTCAGACTCTTACTGACTAAAAACCACCCCGTTCCTTCTCCTGCACGTCGAGCCGGAGCCCTGGTTACCCGTTAGGTTCTCCGCGACGGCAGTCGCTCTAGCAACCACTCGGCCAACGAGGCAGCTTAAAGTATTAGCTTTATCAAAAAGCATAAAAATAGCTACTGTCTCTGTACTGAATCAATCTATATTTTCTTGACTGTATACTGAAGAACTTGGTTGAATATAATATACAAGTAGACATAAGTAATATTGTTTAGGAAGACCTACATATGTTGGGCTTAGACAGGCTTCAATTACGCAAGACTCTAACATGAATGTATAGCCTCGTTTGAACGATTTCACACTCCAACACTTTGAATCGTAACATTCAAAATTATACACGTATTTTTATCCTTCTTTGTTTTTTAAGGGGTAAAATCATCGAATGCCTTCTGCCGCCTGGGTGAGGCGAGAGGGAGTGTCAGACTCTTACTGACTAAAAACCACGCCGTTCTTACTCCTGCACTTCGTGCCGGAGCCTCGGTAACCTGTTAAGTTCTCCGCGGCTCCGTATCGGCATCAGCCTTATTGGGCCCCATCCGTGGTGGTCTGATGGCTCTTTGAGGCGCGCACTGAACGCGATCCTTATTGAGGCTAGTATGTCAGGGTGGCCCAGAGGTTAAAGACGCCCGCTTCTCATGCACGAGAGTGCGGGAAAACCTACCAACGGCAAGTACCAATGTGACGTTTTCCGAGTTATATGTACTTTCTAAGATTATTTAAACACCACTGACAAACGGTGAAGGAAATTATAGTGAGGAAACCTGGGTTTATAATTTCTAATTATAAGTTTGATATCGTTAACCCTCTTTTTTCTTCTTTTTTATGGGTTAAGCCGGTAAACTAGCAGACGGATCACCTGATGGTAAGCAATCGGCCTCGTCCATAGACACCTGGAACACTAGGGGAGTTACAAGTGCTTTGGTGGCCTTTCGGGGAGTAGGAGTTTGAGGATCGTTGGGGATTCCGGAATTGGGTACATTGGGGAAGGAGAGGGGGGTAATTGTGCCGCCAGTAACCTCACTCATGCGACGAAATACAACGCAAGCATTGTTTCACGTCGGTCTTCTGTGAGGCCGGGGTATCACTCCGGTCGAGCCGGCCCATTCGTGCCGAAGCATGGTGATTTATAATATTAAGTAGCAGATGGTTATAAAAATATTTAATGCTAGGTACATGAGCATATAAAGTAGCGTGTATATCGTAAACTTGGGTTTTATTTATCTATTGATAACGCACAGGTGATGTTAGATAACACGTTGATAACATCGTATTGTCCTTTTGGACCCTAATTATATAGATATAACATAATGTTTAGTACGGTTGTTTTAATTCAAAGAGGTCTGTAGAAATATATTTTTTCGCTAGTCATATTGAACTTGTGACCGCCTCGTTGTTCGAAGGGGTAGGCAGAGGTGCACATTATGACACTTAATGCTACTGTACAATGTAACACTCACTTTTCACTATTTATGTTATGGGTCCCATGTAACAGGGGGTGAGCCTATTGCCATATACCGGGCACAATTCCAGACTCATACAGATATGGATCATAATATTATCTATGGTTTTCAATCAATGCTTACTATTATAAATGGGAAAGTGAGTTTGTCTGTTTGTTTGTTCCGCTTTCACGTCGTAACTACTAAACCGATTGCTTTGATTTTTTGCAGACGTAAAGTTAGAAGTCCAGATTGAATAATAGGGTACTTTTTATCCCGGAAAAAATTGATATTCCCGAGGGAAAACAAAATTATTGGTACAGATGGCGCTGTGTATTGGTATATGTCACATAGGCTACTTTTATACCTTTGTGACGCAAGCGAAGCCGCGGGTAAAAGCTAGTTAATCAATAAATTTATTTATTCAGATAATACAATCTAGTTTTAGGGACTTTCGAAAAAACATGTTACTGAAAAATTTTGTAAAAATATGAACACAAAAAATAATAGATTCTATGAAATGTACCTTAGTATGCAGAAAACTCAAGCTTTTGTTGACATTTTCAATTTTGTGGACCCTCATACGCCCACTGTTGGGCCTGGGCAGTCGCTCCCCACTGATTATCTCCAGCAACTTCAGGAGTCTTCGACCGTCTGCTAGATCGACGAACAGGTCGTCTACTTCCATACGCGCCTGAAAAATATAATAAAAGCATTTAACTTTATTGTAGGTAGAGGTTATATGTCGTGGTGGGCCGGAGGCTTAAGACGCCCGCTTTTCATACATGAGAGTACGGGCTCGAAACCTACCAACGGCAAGTATCATTGTGACGTTTTCCGAGTTATATGTACTTTCTAAGATTATTTAGATACCACTGATAAACGGTGAAGGAAAATATCGTGAGGAAACCTGGGCTTGTAATTTCTAATTATTATTTGTATTGTAACTTTCGTGAGACATCCTAAATAAATTATTATGTTTTCGGCTTACTCACGTAATAATTTGACGAGGAACTCGACTAGTTTCAAGCCATGCTAGAGGCTCATATTCATGAGCAGCATTTCGCGACCCGCGACGCGGTGACTGTCGCGCTGCTACTCATCTCTATCACTGCTCATGAATATGAGCCTCTAGCATGGCTTGAAACTAGTCGAGTTCTTATTATTAGTTTGAAATCGCCAACCCGCATTGAGCAAGCGTGGTGATTAATGCTCAAACCTTCTCCGTGTGAGAAGAGGCCTTTGGTCAGCGGTAGGCATTTATAAGATGAAGGTGAAAGAGGATGTCTCTTCATTTTCACACATTAATTTTGTAGGAACAATTGGAATTCTTTTGAGGAGGGTGAATCATGCAATGACTCCTCCCGCCCAGGATGAGGCGAGAGCGAGTGTTAGACTCTTATTGACTGAACACTACTAAGTTCCTACTCCTAATTCGAGCCGGAGCCCTGACTTACAATATTCTATATTAAGCTTGTGCCTTTGAAAATAAAGTCTATTTTTTTTTCTGTCGCGGAGAACCTAACGGGTAACCGGGGCTCCGGCTCGACGTGCAGGAGAAGGAACGGGGTGGTCCTTAGTCAGTAAGAGTCTGACACTCCCTCCCGCCTCACCCAGGCGGGAGCAGTCATTCGATGATTTTGGCCCCTTAAAAAAAAGTCTATTTTTCACAATGTTTGTGTAGATAAATGTATTAAAGAAATGTTCGTATGCACAAATCTCCTGAACGACTGCACTGAATTGTATAATAGGGATGATGACAGAGTATGAAAATAATAAAATTGTAATAAGTCCTTCAGTTAGGTAATGAAAAAATATTCGACACGTATTTTTTTATTTTGGTGTATTATAAAATGATACTTAGATATAACGAATCAAAGTTAAAGAATGGGGGCTGAAACGTCATTTCTACGTATAAAATGTACATAGAAGTGACGTCACGCGACATTTCAAATCAATATATCGCCGAAACTATTCGTTTTCGTAAAAAAAATAAAAATACGTGTCTAATGTTTTTAAATAATCTACCAGACGGACATTGAAATAAAAATTAGTCATCTACCCTAGTCTATTATCGTGTCCTTTATTGTTAGGAAAAAAAGAATCAGAATTTAACTCATTGTGGAAAAGTTTTAAGGCTTTAAAAATAGTCAGAGAAATAAAAAATGACATTTTTCTAGTCCAACCTAATAATTGTCTATTGTCAATCCGCCATTTTGTTAGCATTAAGTACATAATAAAGAATGTAACCTTCAGCAATGCAATGATAGTGATGTCACCGCTGCTCAATTATATGATAAATCTGTTCGAGTGTTTGTGTACGGTGTACCATAGCAAGGCTTTTACGCATCAAAGAGGAGAGGCAGAGCGGTGGCTCTTATATGTTACATAAACAACATGTAACTTAAATAACGCACATCCTGAAAATAGTTTGTTCAGAATCGTTAACTGAATCGATTTATATAATTTTTAGTATAAGTAATTTTTTACCCCAAAAATAATTAAAACTACGGAAATTATTGTCATATTAACCCTGTATTATTAAAACAAATCGAAATAGACCGTAAGTCAAAGCAATAAGACTTTTAAAATCGCAGTTTTATTTGTATTCATACAAATTGTATCATTCAATACGAAATAAAGAAAAATAAACCTTAAGACAAGACCAGTAAGGATGCATATACATGTTAAATTAAAAATTTAGTGTATGTATTATGATTATAACATAATATTGTAATCGGGGTGTTTGAGGGTGTGCGTTAATTACGTTACATGTTGTATATGTGGCGAGCATGCCATGGGTTGTCGCAGCACGCCATTGAATCACGCAGGACAGAGGCCTTAGTACGAGTTACTTTTTCGGTTAAAGTAATCGAAAGGAGACGGCGTTCTGTACTCTGATTGGTTGGTTCATTAGAGCCGGCCAATGAGAGCGCTGAACACGTACTAGTTACGATTACTTTAAACTAAAAAGAAACTCGTATTAAGACCTCAGATAGGTCATTTTGTATCGGGGAATTATGATTGCTAAATGCTAAGCTAGTAGAAATCCCGAGCGTACGGCGCGTCGCGTCCCGCACGCGCCTCAAAGAGCCATCAGACCACCACGGATGCGGCCCAACAGGGCTGATGGACAGAAAAAAATTAAAAAATAAATGGTTGCCTGTAAAGTCGTTTTTACGGGCGAAGATTTTACGTGACAACGTCTTTTTCTCGGTAGAATATTTATTGATATGAATATAATTAAATTGCACAATAGGAACAAGGAATTGAATGAACTAGTGCTGCGCGCGCGGCAGACCGATCATAGTTGAGTGGGAGAGAGACGCAAGGCATTCGGCGGGCCTCTCTCTCGTTCGGTGACTCATCGTAACGTTACCGAGCGTTACACTTTTTCATAAGTGACTCCCAGCCGCAACCTAATTTAAGACGTTGTCACGTCAAAACACTTCACTTAATTTATGGACGTCCCCTAATATTACTCAAAGTCGTGGAGAACTTAACGGGTAACCGGGGCTCCGGCTCGACGTGCAGGAGAAGGAACGGGGTGGTTTTTAGTCAGTAAGAGTCTGACACTCCCAGTGCAACGGCAAGCCGGCAGGGAGCGCCAGCTCTAATTGAAACTTGGCCATAGACTGTATATATATGGGATTCGCATCGTAACTGACAAAAACTAAATGTTATTTAATATATCCGTATACCCCTCTGTCAATTCTTTTGGAAAATAGGCGTGATATTATAATTGTAATTGGATAGATAACATTATCACAACATGAGTAATGCATCAGTTGACACATACATGCATATATTTTAATAGAATATTATGTCATGCACTTATTTCAAGAGAAGCTGTGACTAAGTGATATATAGGTACATATTTGCTATTTATAATATACAAAACTCATTATTATTATTATTTAACACTAGCTTTTTTTTAGAGGGGGGAAAATCATTCAATCTTTTCCCGTGGGGTGAGGCGGGAGGGAGTGTCAGACTCTTACTGACTAAACACCACCCCGTTCCTTCTCCTGCACGTGGAGCCAGAGCCCCGGTAACCCGTTAGGTTCTCCGCGACAAAGAGCAGATCCTCACTGTGATTCGATCCCGCGGCATTCCGTACTACGACTGAAATGCTTGAATCGAGCGTTCGGCGTGGTCTATAGTAGTTACCGAAACCAAAAATATGGTTTTTAGAATTTTTGTCTTTTTGTCTGTATGTATGTTCGGGATGATCTCAAAAAGTGCTAGTAACGCGCTTGTAACGCCTCTGGTGTTCCAGGTGTCCATGGGCGACGCCGATTGCTTACCATCAGGTGATCCGTCTGGTCGCCATAAAAAAAAATCAAAACAAACCTTTTGCAAGAACGAATTGATCCATTTCGTGAAAGTCTTCTTCTGTATATGCAGCCGTTCTTCTTGCAGCGCTTTGATGCGACCCTGCTCGAACTTCAGGGCGTCCTCTCTTTGTGTCATATTCGTTCGCTGCTGCACCGCCGTCGCGTAACCGCCCGGTTCATACTGTTGCCCTGGTAGAAGATAATACAGAAGTTTAGTAGAAGAAGAACTTGTTTAAGGGGGACCTAGCAGACGAGTCTCCTGATGGTAGGCAATAGGCTCCGTCCATGGATAATAATAATAATAATTTGCCAATGGCCTCATTGCTAAAAGCCTCGAGCAACATCTGAGTAGGCTAGCGTTAGATGGTTGGGTCAAGGGCCTGATGCAGAAAGCAGTACTTCTGAATACGGCGCGTATTGTCCCAAATTCCTTTCTCTGGAGCCCTGACCATCGGTAGCTTGGATTTCTCCCGTTACTGGTAGGCTACTGCGTTTTATATTTTTAAAAGTTTTTTTTTATGTTTAAAATTTGATTATATTATTTAAGTATAGAAATAAGTAAAGGAAATAATAATTTGTTTATTTATTTCTCCCATTTCTTACATAATAGGGGAGTGTCCCATAGTGCCGAACACCTAAGCTTTGATGGCAGTTAGAAAAAAACGGATCGCATATTAAACATTTAATGGAAATTATTAAGTACAAAACAATCATAGACACCTATATAAATGAACAAAACAAACAAAAATAAACGAATTATATGTTTTAACAAGTGATTCTTATTGGCATTAATTTTTGGATAATAATTCTTTGGCACCTAGTACCGAACAAGGATATAAAATGGCACTTACGGCCGAACAGTCTTAAAAAAGGTGACATCGGTCACAAATATATAACTCAGAACACTCTGGTATATCAGCACAAGCCTCGTGCGCCCATTCTTTGCACGAATTGCACTGGATCCAGTCCTCATCGTGGTCTTCGAGGCAAACAACACACGAAGTCTCTTGGTGTGCCTGCGAAGATACGTTGCTTTGTTGTTCTTTCTCTTTTAATGGCAAAACTTTAGTTTTCTTAATCTTATCTGCTTTATCTGTCTTCTTAAATGTACGCTGTAGTTTCTTTTGTTCTTTAAGCAGTTTTTCGTTTTCTTTATTTTCCAGAGACAATTTGTAAGGAGAGGCAGTTAAGATTTGACTTTTCTCAGACTTTCGTTTTCTTGTTTGAGCTCTTTTCTTTGCAGCGTCTGGTAATGGTGAAATGTTTAATATGGCTTGTCGTACACAATCTGGACCTTTGCTGGTAGAAGGCTGTGGTGAAAAACTTTGCGGTAATATTATGTCAGAATGTATTTGCTCTGGTATTGTTGACTGAACAACAGGCGAAGAACGATCGACGCTAATTTGTTCTTCAACAGATTCTTCTATTGGAATGTTTGTAATATCACTGGGCAAATAATCCAGATCGCTGAAGATATTTTCATTAAATGGATATATACCGGTACACCTGAATCCTGCTGCTGCTATTTCATAACGAGCTACTTTTTTAAAAGCATCTGATACAAGTCCTGCTATATCATACTCTGTAATTCTTGCACCTGCATTAGCTCTTATCCACATTCCGCATTGTTCATTATAGGCATTCTTGAAAGGTTTCATAAATGATCTATCTAACGGCTGAAGTTTATGTGTAGTGTGTGGTGGTGAACTAATAAGGTGAATGTTGTTATCTCTGCACCAGTTTATTACCTCCAAAGTCTTGTGGCTGCTATGCCCATCAAGTAAAAGCAGAATCGGAGACTCCTTTGAAGGTCGAGCAAACTTAGTAAAATGATGCAACCATTTCAAAAAAAACTCATTGTTCATCCAACCTTTCGGTTGGGCAACACCTTCACTATCAGGAGGTGAATTTATCATTAGCCGTTCATGCATTCTTTGGCGTGGAAAAATGAAAAAAGGAGGTATAAAATTGCCTGTAGCGCTCATGCAAAATAAAATTGTAACGTTTTTCCCCCTTTCAGCTGAAGTAAGCTTTCCTATTTGACGGGTGTTTTTTTTTGCCATAACCTTTGCATGCTTTTGTACTGTTGTGACTCCAGTTTCGTCACAATTGTACACATTTGATGGTGGAAAATTGTATTTGTCCAAAAGGATTTTTAAATTAATAAAAAATAAATTCACCTGGGCCCTGTTGAATCCAACCGCACGCATCAAGCTGGTAGACTCTGCTGTTCTCAGTGACAAATCTGGATGACGTTTCATAAATTCATAATAGAAATGTTTACCAGCAGCTTCTTTTTGAACGTTAAAACGATGTGGTATCTTGAGATGAACAGCTAAATCGAAGGCGAGTTTCAAAAATTCTTTTTTTGTCAATGGCATACATCTGTCAGCTAAGTCCTTAACATGGCTTACTAAAACATTCTCATACTCCGATGAAAAGGTCTTTGTGAACCTCCCTAGTACTGGTTTCAGTTCTACTTCTTTACCTTCTCTAATAAGTTTCAATTTGTCATACAAAGTAGTAGTAGGAATGCCATATCTTGAAGCCGATTCTCGTAGAGACATTTTTTTGTTTATTACTTTTTCAATTGCTATCTTTAGGTTTTCAGAATCCCAACGACCCTTCTTGATTTTGTCCATAGTATAGGGTAAATTTGTTCCTGAAATAATGAAATACATATACAACTTGCAACACTTAAAATAATAGAGTAATCGTCAAAACATTTTTGTTCGGTCATAGGGGAAAAAATACTGTTCGGTACTAGGGACTCACTGAAGAGAATTGATACTCATATGACATAAAAAATAGTAACTTATTTTATGTTTTACATACTAGACAGTCCAAATTACTTACCAATGTCAATTAAGATTGGTACCAAATCGATCTTACACTTATATTTCGGTCACAATCAATAGGTTAAGTTTGTAGGCGACGCCAATTTCCCGCGTAAAATACAATGCGGCTGTTCTCGTCCACGCTTTGAGCGTCACTGCGAACCCCCGCGCCACCCGCGGCCACGCTAGCTTTATCTCTTTCTATTGCACGACAACGCATCGTACTTGTCCGTTTATAAGTACCGATTACAACATTCGTTCGGTACTACCTGCCGTTCGGCGCTAGGGGACTTCCCCCTACATAAAATCATAGCAGGTAAAAACATATTTTAGGTACCTACGTAACAATAAACTTTGACCAATGTTTATACATTCTGCAATTAATGGGAGACAGGAGCCCGTACTAAGCAGGGGGCTTACTCTTCAATCCAATTCCGATCGGTGGACATTGGTATTGTGAAATTTCGTACTCTTGAGTTGCAACACTAGCATCCATTGCATCCGTATTGCGTGGATATTGAATGAACTAAATGGTATTGAGTTTGTCTTTATATTCCGTACTCTGAATGCTATTTTAACAGCTACGATTGTGGTTGTATATTTTTGACATTGAATAATTATTGAGATTTTATTGGATTAAAATTGCATTGACATTGAGATTGGTTTCAAGAGTAAGCACCCAGGTCTTCTAGTAGACCAACCCCGGAGCCCCCACGGTGCAACGCCTGTTACAGCTCCTCCCTTTTTAGTTGGGGAGAGGTTGAGGGGTGGTTGATGAAAACGGGCACAAAAATCCTATTACATTACGAAACCATGGTATACCACATTAGAGTCAAGTTAATAATATGCCTTGCAAAAAGTTTTGAACCTTACCATATTTTCTCGAAGGTTGATAATCCTGGTACGAATAAACACTAACGTTACTCAGTTGCCGCTGCATTTTTGTTATGCGGCAACACTCAGCACAAAGTTCTCATTAGGTTGGCAACACCGTTCGCCACAGATTAATTATTACACTTTTATCTTGTTCACTTTGATGCTTCAGCTGAGAATTGAAATTGATTTTTAGATTATTTATTATTTTTTTTAATACTTTCAGCCTTTTATTTACTATGATGTGCAACTAAGATTTTAATGTTTATTTCTAATGACCTTAACGTTTTTTTATCATATAAATTATTATCATCCATGAGTTATCATTATGTATAATATTATTAATACACATATTATTGAATACGGGTAGCTTCACAATGCTTGTCATACAATTTCACGTAAAACGATAACACAGAATGTTTTGTTATGTTCAAAATTCAGAAATAGCTGGATAGAAAATTCAGAAAAAAAAATAGTACCTAACGCGGTAGTTGACAGGTAATCAAATTCAATACATTTTTCGAACTGTCAAAAACGACAGTTTTCTATGAATTTTGTACGAGTTTGTGTATTGTGACGTCACGTTTTTTTAGACAAACAGCATACTAATTTCTTTAAAAAGTGCAGGAAAAAATACTAAAATTATATATATTTTACTAGGTAGTACTACTTTATTAATAAGAATTTAAATTCAATAAATATATACAACTTAAAATATAACTAACTAAAAACTAAAACCTAAAACACCAAAAAAAAAAGTAATATCTAATTATAAAAATGCTATCTTAAGGCATCAAAATTAAGTTGGTCATAAAATCAATTAATGAAAGTGTGATTATTTTTTAATATTTTATTGCGTCGGACAGTCGAAATAATTTATATTTGATGAAGCCAAGTACCCGATTGCAACAGGAAATGACATCAAATGCAATGTCAACGTACACTGGCCAATTAATTGGCCTAACCACGCGGTTCCGGTCGTGAGCACACTGCACAAAGACGGACGATGAATTCAATGACAATATCAAGTCAAAAATGGTAGAAATAATAACGTTATTCACATGCTAGACATGTGAATAGTCGTGGAGAAAAAAAAAACATGTGAATAACGATAATATTTTTTTTTAAGGGGGGAAAATCATCGAATGATTGCTCCCGCCTAGGTGAGGCGGGAGGGAGTGTCAGACTCTTACTGACTAAAAACCACCACGTTCCTTCTCCTACACGTCGAGACGGAACCCCGGTAACCCGTTAGGTTCTCCGCGACTATTCACATATCATATCTAGGACTAGATTTCTGTTTTAATTTGTTATTTATAGTGTGAATTGTGAAGATTATAAAGAAGATAGAAAGAAAAGCATTTATTTTTGCGCAGAACATAAACTTAACATCTACAAAAATCCTCGATCCCTAAGCCATTTGTCAAGTATGGGAATTATGGCCACCTTGAGAAGGAGGCCATTGTTCAGCAGTGGATTGCTTCCGGCGTTAATCGTATCAAAGATACGTGTATTCTATACATGTTAAGAAAAGAATAATTCAAAGATCAAACGCAATACCTTATTAAGGAAATCAATCGAAATTACTGCCTCGTTGGCCGTGGTCGCAAGTGTGATTGCTGGGCAAAGGATGTAAGGGTTCGATTGCCAGATCGGGCAAAGATTTTCTAGATTTTTTAAAAAGTTCTCAGTAGTAGCACGGAGTCTGGAATTGTGCCCGGTATATGGCAATAGGCTCACCCTATATTACATGGGACTCATAACATAAAAGTGAAAAGTGGGTGTTACATTGTACAGTGGCATTAACTCCGCGTACCCCTTCGGGAATAAACACGCACAAAATATACTAAAATCAACAAATATAATTTAATTTGCTATTGCTCTAAATACTATTAGAAACCCGACAGTAACGCTGGCGCAGCCCTACACGCAATGTGTGCACGCGCATGACCATGAACTGCCCACTAACGGTGCAGGTCGAGAGCCATTGATCGTACCATAGTATGTACATACAGTCAGCAAAGTCATTGTTGAGATTTATAACATCAAAGAAACTAACGCCATCTGTTAGCAATAAGTGAACTATTGTTGTCTATGTTAAGCATGTAGAGGTACATATGTGTCTATGAATAAATTCTCTTCCGCCATTCTAGTTGTACAAAACGGTCGTTTTAATTTTGCTAGCAAAAATTATAATAGTCACTAGCTACTTCCGCGCGGTTTCACGGTTGTACGGCTCAGCACTTATTGGTCGTAGCGTGATGTTTTATAGCCTATACCGATCCTCGATAAATGCCCTATCCAACACAAAAATAATTATTCAATTCAGACTTGTAGTTACGGAGATTAGCGCGTTCAAACACACAAACAAACAAACAAACAAAAAGCTGCTGTCCGGTCAAGTGAATAAGTATCAAACTTTACTGGGGTAGACGACTAATTTTTATTTTAATGTCCGTCTGGTAGATTATTTAAAATCATTAGACACGTATTTTTTATTTTCTTACGGAAACGAATAGTTTCGAAGATATATTGATTTGAAATGTCGCGTGACGTCACTTCTCAGTACATTTTATACTAAGAAATGACGTTTTAGCCCCCACTCCTAAACTTTGATTCGTTTTATCTAAGTATTGTTTTATTATACAACAAAATAAAAAAATACGTGTCTAATATTTTTTTATTACCTAAATAACGGAAAAATTATATTTTTAATTTTCATACCCTGTCATCATCCCCATTCAATTATTACACAGTGAAGAATCTTTTATGAGTTTTAACACGATAAACGCCATGGATCATGGAGTCACCGGCGTCGAAGTTACATAGCGGAGTTTTCTTTCAACAATTTTCTATCAGCTATTTTTAAGGCTTCAATATGATTTTGTTTCGAACCAGCAGCTGTAGCCAAATGCCATTTAGCGCTTGTCTACATGTAGAATAAAAAACTAAATTACGTATATGGAATTGATGTAAATTTTGACAACTGTCAGTGTCATCCCCATACATTATTCCCATATATTGTCTGGACTTTAAAAGAGACGGACCTCTGAGTTTGTTTCGGCATTTCTTCTCAGAGTAGTCAGTTAGGAAATGTCGACCTCATCGTTCGCTTGATAAAATTGACGTGTAAAAGTGCTGCCTTGTAGCCTATTTGCAGAAATAAATTCACTTGTTTCACATTTAGTTTTCTACTCTCTCTGTAGACAAGCGCTAAAGTGACGTTTGGCTAAAGGGCACAGCAGCTGTAGCCAAATGCCATTTAGCGCTTGTCTATTTACGTCAATCCCATATAATTTGGTTTTCTATTCTACATGTAGACAAGCGCTAAATGGCGTTTGGCTACACCTGCAGAGCCACAGCACAACAACCAATCACTGAGCTACTGCGTTAACCTTCAAAGAATACCGTTTTGTAAGCTTATTAAACGCGTGGCTGCTAATTTGTATATAGTAGTGGCATATGCCGTCACGCTCTGCTGTCTATGGTCAATGGCCAGGCGATACGGCTCGACTATCGACTGACGACTGACGTACTATATGGATATATGAAAATTATTTTTGTAGTCAGTGCCTTTGACTGCACGGTTGGTGCGGTGGCTGGGCAACCGGATGCCGTGCAACGTATCACCGGTTCGATTCCCGCACGGAACAACACTTTGTGTGATCCACAAATTGTTGTTTCGGGTCTGGGTGTCATGTGTATGTGAACTTGTATGTTTGTTAAACGCACCCACGACACAAGAGATAATCCTACTGTGGGGCAACGTTTTTTTAAAGAAAAAAAAAAAACTTTAGCGCTTGTCTACAGAGAGAGTAGAAAACTAAATGTATGGGGATGACACTGACCAGTGTCAAAATTTACGTCAATTCCATATAATTTGGTTTTCTATTCTACATGTAGACAGGCGCTAAATGGCATTTGGCTACAGCTGCAGGTTCGTCATAAAATCATCGTAGTTTTTTATGATTTTTTTTATAGCATAAGCCGGTAAACGAACTGACGTATCACCTGATGGTAAGCAATCGGCGTCGCCCATGGACACCCGAAACACCAAGGCGTTACAAGTGCGTTACCGGCCTTTTGGGAATTGGGAATTTGAGGATTGTGGAGGATTCGGGGATTCGGGAGACTGAGGATGACTGGTAATTGGTAACCGGTAAACTAACTCATACGACGAAACAACGCAAGCGTTGCTTCACGTCGGTTTTCTGTGAGGCCGTGGTACCACTCCGGTCGAGCCGGCCCATTCGGCCCGAAGCATGGCTCTGCCACACTTAAATAATTTGATTTTATATTATTTAATTTGATTTTAATGAATTTGATAAAGGGTCTGTTTGTACTGGCTAATTGAAACAAACAAAGTTATTTCCTAAAATTCATATTCTACGCGGACGAAGCCGCAGGCAACAGCTAATCACTACATAGTATGAAACAAAGTCGCTATCCACCGTCTGTCTGTCCCTATGTAGGTATGCTTAGATCTTTAAAACTACGCATCGGATTTTGATGCGGTTTCTTTAACCCGTCGTGTGTCGGAACGTAGATCTACGCGAGACACAATGCATTTTCTTTTGTGCCTTATATACCGTCAGTCAAGAGGTTAATAGATAGAGTGATTCTTAAGGATCGTTTATATGTAAGGTACAGTCGCCTAATAAGGCCCACCTTATTTCAAACCTTGTATAATCTTGTAGATAAATAAAGTAGAGAAGAAACATATTGGAGGTTGTAATGTATTGATTTGACAATCAAGATATAAAAAAAAGTAATCATAATTGCATATTTTTTAAGTGGCCTGTCTCAGAAAGCGGGCCATCTTTGGCGCAGATACCTAATAAAACATGCATATTGCACCCGTGCGAAGCCGGGGCGGGTCGTTAGTCTATAATAAAACTTAAATATCATATTGTAGTTTATATAGTAAGTAAATAATGCGTACATAGAAGTTATCGGCGCCGGGGTTCAATGGACGAATTGTCAACAGTATAAATTATGTAGAACGGACAACAAACAGTAGATGCTCGCGCAATATTTGCGATAAAGCATAATTTTTTGCATCAATTCGATTGTAAACTTGTATTTTAAACTATGTAGGTACCTAACTAGAGAATAAGGTAGATGACTAATTTTTATTTTAATGTCCATCTTTTAGATTATTTAAAAACATTGACACGTATTTTTATTTTTTTTACGGAAACGAATCGACGATATATTGATTTGAAATGTCGCGTGACGTCACTTCTATGTACATTTTATACGTAGAAATGACGTTTTAGCCCCCACTCCTAAACTTTGATTCGTTGTATCTAAGTATCATTTTATTATACGACAAAATAAAAATACGTGTCTAATATTTTTTGATTACCTAACTGACGGACTAAATACATTTTTAATTTTCATACCCTGTCATCATCTTCATCCCTATTGTATAGTGAACCTGATTGAAAAAGAGTAACCTATGGAGTTTCTTGCTCGTTATTCTACATAGGAATCTAAAAATTGGAATGAGCAAATAGCTTCGATTTAAATTTTTTGTTGACGTTTAAAAGTGCCTTCCTGGTCAAAGACTGAGTTGACTGCACGAGTGGCTGGTCGACCGGATTAGTTTTTATCCCACGGGAACAGCCGAAACCACAGCAAAAGCTAGTAATTAATAACTATTCTTTATTTATTTCTTCTTCACAAAACATAACTGTGAATGGCGGACTTAATACCCTAAGGCATTCTCTTACAGTCAACCATAGACATTATAATATAACATCACATAAAATTGAATTTTGACTCGACAATAAGTAGGTACAAGTATTCTACATCCTTATCGAGGTACAAGCAAATATTGATAACGAGAAACACGCCTTGAACGATACCTTTAGTAAATATGACACGGTACAACAAATTCAACAATATTTTATAGGTTATCGTTATTATTTAACTGTCTTTTATTAGTAAATCGTTAAATAGAAGAAAGGATTTTTTTAAGGGGGGAAAATCATCGAATGACTTCTCCCGCCTAGGTGCCTAGGTGAGGAGGGAGTGAGTGTCAGACTCTTACTGACTAAAAACCACCCCGTTCCTTCTCCTGCACGTCGAGCCGGAGTAAATGATGATGGCATACTTGATGTAGAGGAGATGAAGCGTCACTAGCGTCTAGACGGCTATTGAAGGCTCCGCAAAAAGAGAGGCGAATAAGTTCGCCTTCTCTATTGCGGTGTGAGCCAGCGTCTCGTCAGATCTCAGCAGCGGTAGGAGTTTTATTTTAAGGGGGGAAAATCACCCAATGTCTCCCGCCTGAGTGAGGCGGGAGGGAGTGTCAGACTCTCACTGACTTTATACCACCCCGTTCCAACTCCTGCATTTCGAGCCGTAGGTCCGGTAACCCGTTAAGTCTTCCGTGGCTCCGTATGGCATCAGCCCTACTGGGCCCCATCCGTAGCAGTCACTTCCGACCTCATGGCCAACGAGTTATAACTTATTACGGCAACAACAACAGCTACTAAAACAAGAAAGTGCATAGACTTATCACCAAGTTACATACATAGAATACACAAGTGACTATTGAAAATGTAGAGAAAGTATCGCCATTTTGTATGCGAGGATTTTAAAGTCAAGTGGAGAAGACACGTTGCGTCGAGCCTTTGAATTTATGTATACAATCGACTCTCGTTAATTCAAACCTTTACGTGTGGAGAGCCATGCTTCGGCACGAATGGGCCGGCTCGACCGGAGTGATACCACGGCCGAGCAGAAAACCGACGTGAAACAAAACTTGCGTTGTGTTTCGTCGTGTGAGTGAGGTTACCGGAGACCCAATTACCACCCCTTCCCATTTTACGTCGGTTTTCTGTGAGGCCCTGGTATCACTCCGGTCGAGCCGGCCCAATCATGCCGAAGCATGGCTCTCCCACACTTAAATCGAATTATTCGAATCGTCCTTCGAATTAACGAGAGTCAACAGTAGTTTTTGCTTCTGATTTTGCAGCACCCCGCAACACCAAAAGAGTTACAAGTGTGTTACAAGCCTTCAAAAAATTCGTTAATTTCGTCATACTAACACACGAGTAATATAAATATAACAAGCAAAAACTATATTAAACTAACACCACATGGGTAGCACATGTTTTTATATTAATAATTTTACAAGAAAAAAAATATCCCGCCAAAAAAAACGTCAAGCACTATTGTTCTTTTTTTATTACTTGTCTATTCTACGGCGACAACGGCGAATTATCATAATGCCAAGTCTTAAGTTTGACATTTGTTATTTTTAAAATCGATCGACTCAGAACACCGGGCAGTCGAGTCTACACTATTTGCAATTCAAATCATGGATGCGTTCACCGTGAGATAATACGCTTTTTGTTATTAAATATTTCTATTTGTTTAAACATTTTACGTTTAAATCGTTTCAATGTTAAGTGAATAAAATAACCTTGGGTCTAAATAAGTATACAATAATACAACTCAAGATCATTACGGATCTTATGTATTTATCTTGGAAAGGAAAAAAAATATTAACTGAAATGTAATAAAGGAATGGCTGAAAATATTTCGCGCCAGAATAGAATAGAATTTGTCTTACTCTTCCCGCGGTAGTCAGTCAAATAATCCTTACTAATATTATAAATTGAAAAGTGAGTTTGTTTGTTTCGCTTTCACGCCGTAACTACTAAACCGATTGCTTTGATTTTTTGCAGACGTAACGTGAGAAGTCTGGATTAAATAATAGGGTACTTTTTATCCCGAAAAATTTGATATTCTCGAGGGAAAACAAAAGTATTAGTATAGATGGCGCTGTGTGTATTGATATATGTCACATAGGCTACTTTTTATCCTTATGTGACGCGAGCGAAGCCGCGGGTAAAAGCTAGTTCAAAATATTTTGAAAAAACCGAACAAACAAGAATAATAATTCTGCTGTACTGCTGGAAAGCAGAATTATTATTTTAACTAAATAATTTTAAAACCAAGTTGTTTTTTAACCGCGTCATCATTACTTCACCCAGTTTCGAAAATATTCTTTTAAGAAGTGCCAAATAAGGCCATATTTTATCGACTAACTAACAAAATTCTTAGAAAACTTACGCTGTGCTGACTAAGAAAACGTTTATTTCGTTTTAGTCATCGGTTTAATATGTAGTTAAATGATTACGTCATGATCAAAGGTCAGATATATGAATGAGAGCGTTTTGTAGCACCCATAGATCCGTTGAAAACCGGCAGTGAGTAAATAGTTGATAGATTACTTATCGCTGTATACAATTACATATGTAAAAAAATATATTTCTTTACTAATATTATGAAGAGGAAAGATTTGTACCTATTTTTGTATGTTTGTAATGAATAGGTTCAAAAAGTACTGCGCCGATTTAAAAAAATCTTTCACCAATAGAATGCTACATTCTTCAAATTTGACATAGGCTACATTTCATTTTGAAAAAAAAAAATTGTCTATCCCTGCGAAGCCGGGACGGGCTGCTAGTATCTATTATATAAAACTATCATTACAGTTTTCTCCATTACGATAGTTTAGGCCTTAAACTAAATCTATATATCTATATATCTAATTACTAATTTAAAACAAGACGAAACGAAATCAAAAACAAAGCATACACAATCGTAATTATTGACTAAAACTATTGAAAAAAAGAAAAAAACTAGTAAAAAAAATTTAAAAAAAAAGTTAAAATGTGCTATGTATCTATGATAGATTGACAAGCGGCAAATAATTATAATATTTAAATTCTTTTAGCGGCTTCGCCTGGTTCCCAGAATTAAAAGTAGCCAATATTTTTCAGTTAAGTTAAGCCAAATTATTTTAGACAATCTATTAACGTATTTCTATATTCAAATTCGTTCAGTAGTTTGTCGTGAATGAGTAACAAATATAAACTTTCGCATTTAGACGGACAATTAATAGTTAGGATTTTGGGTTTTTCACCAACTCGACACGAGGAACTGATCACACGTGTGTCCAGTTGGTGAAATTTTAAATTAGCACTAATTATTCTTTCGTCATTTGGACACGCCAAGGTTTTTATGTATGTCCACATAGTGAAAATTAAAATTAATTACTTTTATGTTATCGTCAACTGGACACACCTATTTTTTTTTTCTAAAAAAGGTACAGTTAAGTTAAAAATTGTTTCGTTTAAGACAAATTTTGAAATAAAACAAATGAGTAACAATCAAATATTTATATTAGAGGATTTATTGATATAAAGGAGAGGATTTACTAATAAAAAACAAACTTACCTATATCTACACATTCTAAATATACCTAATAATTTAAAATCATCACATCAAATGTCACAGAAATATCAAATAATAAGCACATACATAATTTAAGTGAAAAAATATTTTTCCTATTGCTCAAGGTTAAACTCAATGATGTTTTTAATATTGAACGATACACTCCACTCCTATACGAAGTTGCTGTCAAGTTTATATTTATGAGAGCGGAATTGAAACATTTAACCTTAAGTAGGTATACTAGGTATATGTGGTATAAAATAAAATATCAAAATAGTCATCAATAGAGCATGAGATAACAATACCAAAATGAATAATTTTATATACAATAATCATTCCCCACAAGTCTGCAACAATAATATGGCATTTAGAAATTAGAGTCTTACTGTAATAATAATAATTAAACAAATAGTATCACAATCATTTTACTAAGACTAGACTAAAATAATATAGAGATCAATATAATCAACAATAAAATATAGAATATTACTATTTCAAAAAAATATAAAGATATTTTTATTTGGTTAAATTCTTCGATACCAATGCTAATTTTTCTTGATTCAAATCATCAATGGAACATAGTCTTATGAGATAATAATACTAAAATGGATAATTTTACAAACAATATCATTCCACATAACTCTGTAACAATAATAATTGGCATTTAGAAAATAGAGTACTGCGGTAATAATAATAATTAGACTAATAGTATCACAATCATTTTACTAAGACTAGACTAAAATAATATAGAGATCAATACAATCAACAATAAAACATAGAATATTACTATTACAAAAATATATAAAGATATTTCAATTTACTTCAATTTTTCGATACAGTGACCGATGCTAATTTCTCTTGATTCAAACTCTCTTACAGTGTCTGCAATCATTGTGTTCATTCTGATAGTTTCAATTTTTTTTCTTGATATAGGTCCATCCATCACTACCCGGCGCCAAAACTCATTCATGTCTCTTTTGATCGCGACCAGGAACTGTAATATATTTGGTTTCTTTTTTAATTTTTTGGCTATTCTGGCATTCCATGCCTCTACAGAATTATTAGTGCGATGATGTTCTTTATAACAATTGTATGTGTTTGCATAATCAGAATTATCATCCAGCCAAGTTTTGATAAAATAGTCGTTAAATGTTGTTGCATCTTCAGTGTTCAAGCATTCCGCCATGATATATAACCAGGCATCTGGTTGTGCGTCAATCGGTAGAAGTGGCAATGAACAACACCTCTTCACATGATCTTTTCCCAATTTAGACTTTGTTAAACGCAACATTTTTGCTTTTCGCCACAAACATCTCTTGAAATGAGTATAGCATCCCACAATTTTTATATTCGGAAATTCATGTTGCAAAGCTTGAATAAGAGGCTTTTCAAAATCACATGTGATGGTTTCTGGGTTCCACTCCGGTATTTGGCTTTTAATTAAACAAAATAATGTTTTGTAAGTATCAACTGTTCTGTCGGGCAGCAAAGCATAGATAGTGGGAATAATGTTCGTATGATATTCCGTACTTCCAATATCGACATGAATCGTGAATAGCTGATGGAACTTTTTAACGCATGTTTTAAACGTTCCATCACAGAAGAATTTATTTGAATTTGCAACAATCTCTCTCATGTTATGGTGCGCAAAAACGAGAATACGTTGATCTCCGATGCGATCCGCTAGCAAGATGTCTTGAAACTGCTCAGGTACAACTATTTCGGCTATATTATTGAATGACATACGTTGAACGCCCAATGATTTGTTCCTTTTTCTATATAGTTTATTTTTCACACTTTGAAAACGTGGGATATTTGCAACTAAATGGAGTCCTCTCTCTTCCATTCGCTCAATCGTGTCAAAGTATAGACTTGGGACAGAAGCAGCTAGATTATGCTTTACTTGATCCTCGCAATCATTTAAATTCATTAGAATCTCGTTATTCGTCAAATCACCCTCATGATTATGATCAGTTGCTTTTAATATAGTGGTGTTGTTAAAATTTAATTTGATCATAGCTTGACAAGTTGACTTTTTCGAACAACGCCACATTGAAGATTTATCTTTATTTGTCCTTAGGTGTAGATATTTGTATCCATCTTTTAATAGAATTGGACGATTTCTTTGAGAAGTGATGAATGAAAATGTATTTCTGTTAGTCAATGATGGACCCGCGACTTCTTCTATAGACATATTTGTCTTTACATGAAACAATAAACAAGAGTTTTTTTATAACAAATTAAATATTGCGGCATTACTAAATTGATATAGTTAAAAAAATACGTTGTAAAATCTAAAACTAATTGAATACTTACCTATGTATTAAAATCCACGTCACTTTAAAATGGCACAAACACTGCACTTAATGCACACACCTAAACTGATAACGAATTATGACCAAAGGGTTACCGAGTTGGGATTTATTACCTGCTTCAACCAATTAGAGCAGACTACGTCATTTTAAGTCACCGGCCGCCGGGAATACAAAACACTGTAATAAAACAGGTTCCATGTTGAAGATTTGACAAGCATAGTACTCGTAACATGGTAATAGCGACTTTCAAACACTTTCGGTGTCAAAAATATATTTTTTACAAATTCACAAATGGTGAATAATTACAAAATTACCCGGTGAAATTACTAGGTGGGACGTTTAGAGGACAACGATGATTGTGATTCAAAAATATTATCTGCGTGACTGTACTTTGTTATACATTCGGGTAAAATGTGAACGTGTGTCCAGTTGACGAAAACACAAAAGTAACTTAATTTGATTTTCACTATGTGGACATACATAAAAACCTTGGCGTGTCCAAATGACGAAAGAATAATTAGTGCTAATTTAAAGTTTCACCAACTGGACACACGTGTGATCAGTTCCTCGTGTCGAGTTGGTGAAAAACCCAGGATTTTTTACGACTGGCAACTTTTAATAAATTCTTGACCTTGAATTGAATGGGTCGGTGACCGTTACAATGTAATAAATAGTAATAACATAATTGGCGAAAATTGGATTTAATTAACTTGTAATAAAGCGCCTAGATTCTTGCGGACAATTTTGTTTAGGTGATCAAAATTGTTAGCCAAATATTTTTCTTTTAAAAACGCATATTTTAATTATTTAGGTTGTTATGTGTTAAATAAATAAAAGTATGTAGCTCAAATAATCGATTATCAATTCATATCAACCCCATACATTTCACTAGATTCTACACGAACAAAATAAAAAAAACTCCCCATAGACAAAACATTGCAGCCGGAAACGTTTTTTATCACAATTTGCGCGCGCAAAAGATAAATTTTGTCTCTGTTTACGTAATCGAAGCTTAAATATTACGTTTTTTATCATTTTAAGTCGAAAGATAATCCAAAACAGTAGATAGGAGGTTTTTACAGTTGAATAACAGTCTTCTAAAATCGTTACTGAGTATAATTATGGGTTGTTACTTTATTAGCAGCCATTTTGAAATTGAATGGCTATTATTATTTTTTTCTATAATTGGTATTTTTAGTTCGGTTTGATTGCTTAGGTGTTATTGGCCTAGGAATCGAAAAAAAAATACTTGACGTGAAATCTACTTGAGCTATACTTTTACTATGTAAAATGGCAAAAATCATATGTCCTTATTCCAAGCTATTTGAGGTCGGGTTCTTCTCGCACCCCTTATCCAGACGTCATCCTATCACAAATCCCTTTCTTTTTCATTTCATTCTTCTCAATATATCTTTTTTTTTTACTTATTTCGTTATTGAAGCAGAAAAATCGTCTTATCCATAAAACATGTGATGCCTCAAGATAAGCGATTAACATTAACACTACCTTTTCTTTTTTAAGGGGGGAAAATCATCGAATGACTGCTCCCGCCTGGGTGACGCAGAAGGGAGTGTCAGACTCTTACTGACTAAAAACCACCCCGTTCCTTCTCCTGCACGTCGAGCCGGAGCCCCGGTTACCCGTTAGGTTCTCCGCGACTCCGAATCGGCAACAGCCCTATTGGGCCCCATCTGTGGTGGTCTGATGGCTCTTTGAGGCGCGCGCGGAACGCGACGCGCCGTACGCTCGGGTCTGTTTCTGGTCGGACGGGGAGCCACCCATGTTCGCCGTCCGCAGTCCCGCGCTTACGGTGGCCGAAGATCGTCCCGCGATCCCCGACGCCCGGTGTGTCCTTCGCAATGGCTGGGTTGCGAGGAGGCAGCGCTTCGCTGCCTCACGCATCCCGCCTCCTCCTTATGGAGCCCCGACACATTCGACGGGTCACAATTGCATGAATTGCATTGCCGGCCTGTTAGCACATGAACATGTCGACCACACAGCACGCAAGCGGAGGATTTGTCTTCAACAGTTTTCTGTTAGCAGTAAAATTCTTAAAAAGGAGGCTATTTTTAGGACAGGGCGGTTAAAGTAACCCAAATAACCTTTCTATAAGTCATTCAACTGGTTAATATTAGAATATTATCGCCAAATTGGGTTACAATTCTTCCAAGTATGGCATACAATAGGAGCTATTACGTTTCAAGGTCGAACCGCGCTCGGATTTAAAATTCGTCACTACACTATGAAGCGGTAAGAAGGTTAACTTTTCGATTTGTGATGTACGTAAGTATGGAATTTGTCTTCGTATTTTATTTATCATTTAACTATCAGGGTTCCTTTTTTGAGTTGTTTAAACATAAACAATTAGAAATAAACGACTCTTTTGCTTTCTTTATTTTATCTGTTGTTATTTATTACAGAAAAAGATATATAAGATCAGAATTGAATTTAAATTGATTTATATTATTATTTTATTTTTATTATTTGTTTTTTCTATAATATTTATTGTTAATTATTAGACCAAATATTATTAGATATTTTTTAACATTTTTTTAATGGCGATTAAATGACCAATGATGTTTCTCGATTTTGCGCAAAAGAGATCCTGACCTATAGATATCCTGACTTAATTCAATCAGTTTAGCTGTTGTAGCAAGCTGACTGACTTATAAATTGACGTTAGCAATTATTGTATTAACCTCAATAGACCCTAAGCTACACTAGCGCCTCGAGTGCTGTGAAAATACTAATTTCCTTCCTAATTTTTTATGGTTATGTTATATCTACCTTATTAAACTGTTTCTTTGATTAATCTTTTAAATAACTACCTACTTTAGAATCAACCAACAAAGACCTTAAAAACTCAGATTCTAATAAAAAAACTTAATATGACATTATGGTACTACTGTCAATATTTTTGGGGGCAAACCACTGATATGATAAGAATATGGATAAGAAACAACTAGGAAAAAATCGTGCCTACATAAACTTCACTTGGCCACCTGTAATGGCGGATAGAACTAGGGATGTAACTATTAAAACTGTAGAATTATCGATATTTCAGAATTGGTTTTAATTGACTTATCAATAAAATATCATTATTTTATGATTCATCTGGATTTAATTTTTATCTAGCTGCTAAACATTACCAACATATTAGCGAAATATATTTAGTAGTTGCTGCGTGCACTGTCACTCCAGTCGATCGTGCCTATACATTCACATCATAACTTTCACGATACTTATGTATCGAAATTCATGAAAAGGATTTTCCATCAACTAGAGTTAAGTAATTTTTGAGGGTTGAAAAATAAAACTGTATCAAAGTATTCATAAAATCAAGATTTATAATATACAATATCTTCGTATTTTTCGTAGTGTTTCCCTGTAATGTAATCTGCAAAACCATCTTTCGAGAAGACTCCAGAACTGGTTCCAAGTTTATTTTCATGCACATATCTGGCTTGAGGCTGCAACATAAATAGTATAATTTAACTTACTTGATCCAATTGAACATAGATTTTTCTATAGATTCTATAGATACTGTACCTACTTAATGTTTTTTGTATTTTGTCATTATGTCAAATTAATGCACTTTATCATTCAGAATTTAGTATAGTTCTTTGTTCTACTTTTGACGCATTTATTATGTACGATAAAATTATCGATACGGGAACAATCATGTACATCACTATTTTTTAATGAAAATTGTTTTAGACGTATTTCAACTAAAATTAATGAAAATAAGCACTGCATTAGTTAGAAAAGTATTGTATTTAGTCAATTTGCAGCAACCACACTTGAATAGTTTGAAAAACAGAGATATTTTAATGAAAAATAACAGTACTTACCGATGTAATGTTACACCTGCCGGTTTAGTAATATTTTTAGTGCTACATCCAATAACACTGCACCCGGGCATAGTTCTTCTCACTAACTAATAATTTCTTTGTTTACCACGCACAAAAACCTCAGGAATTCTACAAATTTTCGTAACAAAATATTGTTGACCAATGCTTTGACAGCTGATGTACCACTGACATGCACTGATAACAGGGACTAAGATGGCCAATTCGGCACAACTAGGTTTTTCTGATGACGTCAAAAAATTATTGACAGAATGACAATAATGTGTTGTCTCTTTCTGCAAAAGCAAAGAGACATAAGTAAAAAAGAAACAACAGTATGTTTATGAATTTACCGTCAAGATGGATCCTAAATTCTACCCGTAGACAATAGCCAGACATCTATGTTATATTTATAAATCTATGGGGCAAACCCACTGTCGTTAGACAGCCGGTGTTTTCAAAATGGCGGACTTGTAGCAATAAACTTGTTTTTTATGTGATTTTTTAAAGTATTTGCATGCCAGCAATAAAGTTTGGGCGAAATATTATTACCATGTTTAAAAAACTTCATGTTTAATGTAGTAAGCAAGCGATCTGAGACTTTGGAGAGCCAACAATTTAAATATTTGTTTTAAGTCTACGAAGACCAATGACTTTAAGTAACTTTTGTTTGTTTTTATGGAATAACACAAAGAATTAATAATTTTTTAAGCGTTGGGATTCTATGTTAATTTGTTGAGATATCTTTATTTACAAATATTAGAAATATAATAAATAAATACTATCACTTAAAAAATACTATTACTTAAATAACTATTACTTAAGAAACACTAAAACTAATAAAAGGCGACAAAATTTCAATATATTTTCAAGTTATTATGGATTGCTACTATCCAGAGCCGAAACTAAGTATACGATCCAAAGAGCTGTGTTTAAACCATTTACCTACTACCTATTTTGCTTTATTATTCACGTCAAGCGTAAAGTCCTTTATCATAAAATTTTTCCATGTGTGGTTAAATGATGAATGAAAACATAAATCAATATTTAGTATCGACACATACAACGAGTACATAGACATACCTAGATATCAAACCGTTAACACGATTAGAGTTCCCAGATAAAAATATCAACATACCAGAGACAATTTTGCACTTTTCGTAAAACTTTTTGTCAATTTTCTTTTTCCCTGCATTCTGCACTTCATGCTCTAACTAGACAGACTTATGGCAACCCCGTACACGACACAGTATTAGTTCATAAAATCATAATAAAAAAAAACTTTGTTTGCTATGCTACATTATACCTATTTACCGTACTGTACGTAGAAGACAAGACAATACATAATAAATTTAAATATCGTAAATCTGTTTACATATTTTAGTAACAAAGTACAATGGCGGGAAAATAATTCTAGGTTAGGTATAGACAAGATATTTTTTTCTTAATTCAATCTGATTCAATGACTAGTGATGCGAATTAGGTCGATGTTTTTCACGATAACATAAACGACATCTATAATTATGAAACAATACACAGATAATTAAGTATAATATTAATTAAGACTATTATTGCATTTCGATGTGTTTTCTTGATCTTTAAATAGTAAGTGGTTTCTATTAATATTGATTATGATTGTTAGACGATACCAAATCAAATGACAATTTACGTTAATTTTAAGTAAGTATGTTTCATGTATATTTTCATATTAAATATTTTTTAATATGAATATACACAT